CCACAGGATTATCAGCTTTTGAAAAGTCAAAAATATCAAATTGTAGATGATAACTATAATTTACAAAGGTATTTGTTTTGTAGAAGAATATACTATATTATTATAAGCAAACTTTGCCAATGGCAAAAGATTTGTCCAATCATCTTGTTGGTAGTTGATGGTACATCTTAAATACTGCTCCAAATTTGATTAATACGTTCTATTTTTCCATCAGTTTGAGGATGGAATGTTGAAGATAGTTTTATATCTACTTTTAGAAACTTAAAAAAAAATCCGCCAGAATCTTGATACAAACTGAGTTCTCCTATCTGATATAAAATCTTTGGATAATTTATGATAGCAATAGATGTTGTTAAGAAAAAGCTTAACTATTTCTTTACCTGTGATAGATTTTACATATGGTATGAAATGTGCCATCTTGGTAAAACGATCTACTATCACAAATATAGAGTCATAAATACTTGAGTTTGAAAGTTCTGTAATGAAATCCATAGAAATAGAAGACCACAGTTCTTCAAGAATAGGTAATGGTTGAAGAAGTCCATAAGATCGATGACAAGGAGTTTTTCATCTTGAACAAATGTCACATGACTGAACAAAGTCTTTCACATCCTTCCACATTTGTAGCCACCAAAAATCTTTGGATATTAGTTCTAAAATTTTATTGTATCCAAAATGTCCTATTGCTAGAAAGTTATGACGTGTTTAATGAATACGTAATCATGCTTCTCCTTTTGGAATATATAGGCATCCTTTGAAATATAATAGATTGTCTTTGAATTCAAACTTGGAAGTATTATGAGACTTTGAAGGATTTTCCTTAATATCATGAATAAGAGGATCAGAAGACATTCTTGAATAAACTTGCCTAATGAAAGTTGAATCAACAATTAATGTTGATTTCATTGCTCAAAGATGAAGATGCTCAAGCTTCAAGAGAATTATCTATTGTTGATCAAAAGCAGCATCTCCTTCTTTTTGTACAAAGTAAGATCATCTAGAGAGTGCATCTGAGAAACCTAATTGTTTTTCTAATCAATAAGTGATTTTGAATTCATATCTTGATAAGGACATACTATAATGGGCTTGGTGACGATTCAAAACATGTGTTGATATAAAATATTCAAGGTTCTTGTAATCCGTATACACGATGATTAGATTAGAAGCATCTTCTAGATAATGGCACCATTCTTGAAACAAATCCACGATTATAAGTAGTTCTTTGTTGTAGATCTAAGAAGTAGAAGTAGCATTCTTGGCATAGAATCCCACATCTATTAGCTTTTGTAACACATGACAAACATGAAGTTCATATTTTTCTATGTTTTTAGAATAGATTAAGATGTTGTCTAGGTAAGAGACAACAAAATCATCTAAAAACTCCCAAAAGACATCATTCATTAGATATTGGAATGCTGTTGGTACATTTGTAAGTCCAAAAGGCATGACATTGTATTCGAAATGTCCATACCTTGTTCAAAACGCCATCTTCCATTCCTCTCTTTTTTTGATGCATACCAGATTGTATGCTCTTCATATATCTATTTTTGTATAGATCTTAGCTTGATTCAATTGATCAAGGAGTCGAGATATGAAAGGTAGTGAATATGTGTTCTTTATGGTGATTTTTTTGAGTCCTCGATAATCGATATATATCCTTAATGATTCATCTTTTTTCTTCACAAATAAAATTGGAGCTCTTGTTGGAGTTTTGGAATGGCGTATGAAGTTCTTGGCCAGATTTTTTTCAATATATTCTTTGAGTTCAGCTAACTCATTTTGTGATAAACTATAGATTGGTCCAAATGGTTGTTGTGCTCCTTCTTAAAGGTCAATTGAGTAGTCATAGGAACAATGTTTCGAAAGAGTATCTGCATTTTTTTTCTAAAATACATCTTTAAAATCTTCATATTGGCTTAGAATGCCACCTGAAGTCTTTTCACTAGTTGAAATAGGTGCAGCATAAATCACACAAGGTGATCCTTCTTTTGCAACATGCAAGAAAGCTCTTGCACTTACAAATATAGGTTTAATTGTACTAGACTTATGACTTCTACTTAATTAACTATACTCTTAGTTATACTTTCAAAAAAGTGAAGACTACGAGAAGTCCAATGTATTTTAGGATTATATTTTTTTAGCTATGATAAACCTAAAATGACTGGATTAGAAGGAGATTTAATAATATTAAATATTACAAAGCTACTATGACCATTAGTTGTTACTTCTATAGGAAAGATTTTATAAATAACATCTTCTGAAGACAACGGACGAGTATCTATGACTTCTATATGAACAGGTTTAGTTTTTTTCATTAAAAGTATGCTATGTCTTTTAGCAAGTTCTTCATCTAAAAAACACACTGAGGCTCTTGAATCTAACAAGGCAGAGGCTTTGTGATGTTTAGGTCCTAAAATAACATTTATTGTAAAACAAGGAGAGGGTTCTGAGGAGAGAATAGGACCTTCACTAGGTGTTGTACAAGGTTCTAGCTGCACGGTCCCAATTATAGCTAGACAAACTCATTTTTTGACATATTATCTTCTTTGATAGTTGTACTCCTTATTTTAGAGTTGCATCACTTTTTTGAGCAAAGTTGAACAGTGTGCTTAGATTCTCGATAATATAAGTACAATCCTTCTTGACGACGACAAGTCTTTTCTTACTCAATAAGAAGTTTGAAACATATTGCATCAATTTACATATCCTCTACTTCTGAATGTATGTATTGAAGAGATGTTGGTATTGCCATTGAATTATAATAACGTTGAAGTCTACTTGTATGATTCTCATATTGGAATTCAAAAAGACAATTGTCACACTTCACAGCAAAGTCAATTGCTTGACTCAATGTTTGAGGATCAAGTAAGTTGAGCATTAATTTTTTTTACCTCATATTGTAATCCATAGAGAAATTGGTTGACAAAAGCAACATCATCTCACTTGATATCAGTTGTAAGTTGTCGAAATTGTGAAGCATACAACATTACTGAATGATTGTCTTATCACAAAATATGGATCTTATTGGTTGCAACACGAATTGCATCATGTTCTCCATACATGGATCAAAACTCTACCAAAAATACCTCCAGATTATCTAATATTGGATCTCATCATTCAAAAAAAAAAAAAAAAAAACCATAATAATGCTAAACCTGAAAGAAGTATATCAATGAATCTAACTTGCAATCTTGGAGTTGGATAGCTTTGGAGTTGAAGTTTAATTACAAGTTGTACTTGATTGATAAATCTTCTAAACTTTGATTTGATGCCATCAAACTTCTTGAGTAGGGTAATTCTTGGTTCTCTAACACTGGAAGGATATTCCACCATACAAAAAAAGACATGATTCGGTGCACATGTTGAAGTAGCTCCAATCATTTCTATATCTTCACTTCCTACCAATCTTTTTGCTCTTAGTAGTCGTAAATTTAGTTGATGCATTGCAAGCATTAACTCCCTCAATTGCTCTTGCATTTGTGCCATTGCACTCTTTATTTTAGCAAGTTCTTCCATGATAACACTTAAAAAAGAGAAGATGTCTAATATTGCTCAAGACAAATAGAAGAGAGGGCTTGAGAACAAAAAAAATACTAAGAAGAATATCAGTTTAGAAGAGGATAATTCATAACTTCTAATATGCTTATGTCTTATCAAGAGAAAGGGATAATCTACTCTTAATCAAGCTTAGACAAAGCTCTGATATTGTAAGTGTACTCTTGTCAATCTCTCAAGGACAAGAACTGGATAAAAATAAATAAACAAGTGAGATTTTTCTCAAAGAAAAATGACAAAATAGAAATAATTAATAGTATATATTAAAAAAGAAATCAGAATGGCTATTGCCAAGGACAAGAAAACCAGAGACCCTTGAAACTAGACTAGAAGCAAAAAAAGAATTGATAAGAGTGAAGAAGGCTTCACTCTTGCCTCTATATATACTATCTATCTAGAAGCTACGTGGCGATATTGTATATGACCTCCAAAAATGTGTTGACTTTGCACAAGACATATCTTAACTTGCAAGGCAAGTTTTCTATGTGGGCGCTATATAGTCAGCTTGTTCCGCAAGCTACCAACATGTGTGGCACGTGGTTAATTTGTTGACCAAATTTCTAACCTACCAATCAAGTATAAATACATGTAAAGTCAAAGCAGCGTCTATGAAGCTTCTAGAAAGCTTCTCTAGAAGATATTATGACATTAATCTACTTTTATCTACTTCTACCTATTCATATCACCTAAGTAACAATTACAATAAATATATGTCCGTGACAATAGTTGAGAGTAGCAGGACGTAAAGATTAAGATCTTTACAAGGATCATAACTTCGTCAAATCTTTTTAGCTTCGTCAAACTTGGTACGGAATGTCAACCACCCAAAGAATGGTAGGTTGCAATCAAAGAATAGATAAATAGCACTAAAAATAATTATTTTCTGTTCAAATCTCTCTTGTCAAATCCCAACTGTGTCTTTATGTCTCTTGTACAGGATCAAAAATATATATATAGATATATATATATATATATATATATAAACCTCTGCTGTGTCGAAATGTTATTAAAAAAGAAGGTTAAAAAAAATGAGAAGAAGCTTCGTCAAACTGCAATGGTTGAGCATTTTCGTCTTTCCAAGTCAACCGGGAGCATGAATCTGGATCAGTTAGAGTAGCGTTGACAGGATCAAACTCCATGAGTCTGAATCCAAGCTCGTCCAATGAGTGACGAAATCTAACATTATTGTGAACAAGACCCCAACGAGGAATCTCCGCATCGGAATGCCGAATGTACTGTCGATATTTCTGGATACCGAAAGTTTTCCAACAGCAAATCCCTGAGGATTTTGTCGTTGGCGTTGGAGGATTAACTGAAAAGATATGCATCCGCCTTGACCATCAACACGTCACCTCGTTAATTTTCAGCACGTTGGCTACGTGGAGTGGATTTGTCAACGGCCGGACTCGCCTTTAGTGTCCTCATGTTTTTATAGACGATGCGTTCGCATTGCAGACAGTCCCTTTTTAGCAAACAGTGTGCAGAGCTGCCTCATGCTAGACTAAGGGCAGCACGAGACCTCGATTAGAAGCATCTGGAACAGTTCTCATTAGGATTACGAGTTGCTTTGTTGTTTCTATAAGTTCCTTTCCCGAAGCTCTCACTGTCAATGTGACAAGAACGTAACAAGGTGGAAGGTATTGTTATCTGAAAACGAGTGTCGAACTCGCACAGTTTTACTAAATAGATAAGGTGGAGTATTCATTGGAGGAGTTGGAAGGATTTGAGAAGCCTTCATTGACGTCGAAGTGTGCAAGGGTTAGGATCACGTTGTGGTGGTTGAATAGGTTTTGTTGGGACACATTTGTGGAAAGAGAATGGCAGTCTCACTGTTATCGACGCCATGGGGGGGATTCGGAGCGTTAGGTTGCGACATTACCCCGCGCACTAAGATGTGGAATGAGCTGGAATATTTGCAAGGATTCTTGCTTGATGAGAACGAAGAGGAGTTGGAGTTCTCGGATTTGATTCCGGAAAGCGACAACTTTGTGGCTCCTGAAAGTCTCTTCACTCCGCAACCCTTCGACGACGGTTTGCCGGATATGCAAGCCATCAACGCTCAAGGGAGTTACTTGGAGTCATCAAGCCAACAAAGTGACTCAACCGGCACCTTGGAAGTGAGTAGCGAAGATTGCAGTACCGGAAGCAGGTTATTGCAAAGCCGTAAACCCAGCCGGCTGACATTAATCTCATTGAACTTGAAGAAGAGACTGGGGGGCAACTTCGTGGAGGAGATTCGTCAGATAGTTGGAGCGCTTGTGGATGATTACATTACCGCTGAGCCGGAGGATGCAATGAGCGCAAATCGAGATTTATGCGGAAACTGGGTGACACTGGCGCCTCTCGTTGCACCTGATTCAAAATTGCAACCAGCACATAGTGCCATGATCGAAGTTGCTGACAAGGTGGAGCCGCTTGCTCAGCCCAAGTTAAACGCGACGGCTGATAAGAAGCTTGCAAAGCAACCTAAAACATTGCAACCACATTACAGAGGCGTGAGGCAACGCCCATGGGGGAAATTCGCTGCAGAGATTCGAGATTCCTCGAAGAACGGCTCAAGGATATGGCTGGGGACTTTCGATACAGCGGAGCTTGCGGCATTGGCATATGACCGAGCAGCGCTCCAGATGCGTGGCTCCAAGGCGCTCTTGAATTTCCCCCTCAAGGCAACCACTGCTTTGTCCAACCCCGAGTCTTTCCCTCCTGCTCCGGAGCCTTCCTCCACCAGCCGCAATGCATCCAGAATAACTCAACCAACCAGCGAAAGCATCTCACAAATGCCCTGCAAGAAACTGACTGGATCCAACAAGCGATTCTGCTCCAGCGTGCGTCTTGAAACAGCAAAGAGATTGCGAGCTGAGGCGTGATCATGTGCGAAGGATGGATCGAAAACCCATGGTGAGCAGCTGCATGCATCAAGAGAAGTTCTTTGTTTCCTCTTGGGATATCACGTGTGATACAAAACAAAGGAGGTTTTTGAACATTGTAAAGTAAATTAGCAACAGCCTGATTTTTCCTGCGGCTGCCAGATTGTCGATTCGACTTCGCGATCCAGATATGAGGCAATTAGGTTGTCCGGGCTGCATCCCCTATGATTAGTTTGCTCCCAAAGTGCTCTTTTCATTTAGATGGATTTTGTGTACAATAGTTCGATCGACCGTCAGTCCGGATGTACATTTGCACTAAGGTGCCAGTAAAATACAAGCAATTTGTGCACCATTTGCGCAATTCTTTTTTAGTATTTTATTTTATCTCAACCCATATTCCTGTTCCCACAAGAACCAACAGGACAGAGGTTGCGCTCACTGCAGGGCACATCATGGTACACGAAACGTTGATAACTCGTAAGCTGGGTGTGTTGATTATGATTTACAAGTGAATATGCCACAAAAATCCAAGTTTGAAATTCATCGAATGACATGATTCGCTGATAATGTTCGCTTGATGTTGCTTTGTTCTAAAGAACTTGAAAAGCTTTATTCGTAAAATTCTAATTGCAAGTCCGAAAGTCTAAAACCTAAGCAATCAGAAGCATTAAATCATGGTATATCGATCCACTCGGCTGAGCATTGTCTGTAATGCTGCAACTGGCTGCCAGTCAACTGAGCTCGTCGAATGAGGTTCCACATGCTGTAAGGAAGAAAACGTGTCACGAAGATTAGTCTGAATAGACAATGGTTGCATTGAACTGAAGGGACTCATCGTCTCAGACCACAGATGCAGAGCTCCACGAGAGTCCACTGTTCAGCAGCCTTTCATGGTTGACAGTTTCAACTTTTGGGCTAGGAGATTCAACATCATCAAACTGCCACCAAAATGTCACTGGTGAGAAAAATTGCTATGAGACAAAATACCTACTGAAAGTTGTGAACATTTCTAAAGATCCTGTGAAACTACGACAGTCTCAAACTGTATTTGTGCCTCAAGAGGTGCTTATTTGAGAGAGTGTAGTTACGGAATGGAAGCTCAGGAGTCTCAGAAGTTTAGACTTGTTACGAATTCATGAATATTTGGGTTATTTAATTTACAAATTGTTCTCTGTGTGCGGATCGTTTTGACTTTCCGTTGGCGTCGAGCGTGTGGTTCCCTGGCTGACCTGATCCTTGTAGCGTGTTTCCATTTAATTTCTTTTCATAATTCAAAGTCGCTGAACAATGATGGAGTTTGGTCTCGAGCCGAGTCTCCTGAGTTAGAATATACTGAGTAAAGGCAGACTGGATTGGATCTTATCAAGTTCTAAGGGATAACAGTTAACAGTGCGTTGGACGTGTGGGTTAGTAGCAGCAAAGCTCATCCTAAGAATTAGCTCCGCATTTGAAGGTCGTGGATGTCTAGAAACCCACACTTCCTAGTCAGCATGATACAATGAATATCTCCACCAAGTTGTGTGCAAATTTTGGAGTATAATCAAACACATGGTGAATGTTGCTAAACAAATATTGTACTTTGGATGCAATTATCATCATTCCACCTACCTTTCACCCACATCTCCCAACAAGTTATAAAAGCATCCTGAAAAATGGGGTGGCGGTAAGTGGACGATGAGGTGGCAGTTGGTGGTCTTTACACCGAAGCAATGGTGCAAATCAGTCTCTTCTCTGCACAGAAGGCATTGGTTGCGTACCATCAGGCATCAAAGCCATGAATAGTGCAGTTTTAGTCCAAGTTTATGTCCCATGATACATTCCAAGACAGGTCAGCCAATTCATAACTCGCACAAGTGCAAAATGAGCATTAAACACATCAAGAGTACCGACTGTGAAATGCTTCCACCACAAAAATAACATATATGGTGGCTAATTAATTGACCACTGAATATTTACTTCCTAGAACACTAACAAGCTGGCATCAAAAAGTTCTGATGTTTGACTTAAACCTGCACGAGCAAATGGAAGGCAACTTGTGCGTGATTCAGGAATTTTGAATAACCCTCAACACTCTGCAAAATACTATCAAAAGGAGTACCGTTCAAGGCAGGCAGTAAGATAGACTGATAACTTAAGCATTTCAGCATATTTGCAATAAGTATAAAAAATAAAAAAATAAAAAAATCCCATGTAGGGAGATAGAAATGACCCAATTTTGACATATAGGCCAACCTAATTCCAACTAGTGGTGGGTTACAAAATTGAGAATCTAATTCTTACAAAACCAAGAAATGTGGCATCTGATTATGATATATTATTCCACTCCAATCAATCAACAATTGCCACTTATATTGATAGTTCATGCATATCCATTTCAAGTACAATAAATTTTATTTATTATTTACAACTTAACATCATTCCAACGAGCCCCCGACCTATTTCTGACCAACAAATGTTAGACTTGGTTGAAAATAGGTTGCCAAACTAATGAAAATATTCTACCCTATAGGTTTAAAATGAGAGGTGGTTGACAATGGATCAACTACTTATCCACTCATGAAGATGTAACCTTATTTTTTAAATAAAATAGGAGCTTCATCTACTATGTAGATATAACACATTAATTGCTTCTCATGTTCTTGAAAAATAAGAGTTTGAATCCCTTCTGTGATTAATGAAGCTTTTTGAACATTATAAGGACCTTAGTTTAAGGCAATATTACAAGATGTATGATACTTATCTTATTAGAAGAAGAGATATTGTTACATTTTATAGAAGTAACTATATTTATAATTATTTTTTATTTTTTTATCTATATCTTTTTAAACTTCTTCATATATCATAATTTATTCTAATTTTTTCTTTTTATATAGATTAAGGCTAATATTTCTACCTAGTAAGTTCTATCATAGTCTACAAATCTAAACCAAATAATTATATGTAACTTTTTATCAAATCATATGTATTATCTAAAGATAGTATTATTTTATTATTTTCATATTATTGAGTAACATCTATTTACAATTAGAAGCCATAAAAAATTTGTTATTGATGTGAAGAAGAATATCACCAAAAATTGATTGCTAGATGTTGAATATTAGTGATGGTCCATTTCTAGAGTCTAATTTTTTAAGAAAATAAAGATTTATGATTCTCTAATTCTATATATGTTGTGACATAAAAAAAAACTCCCATACTTTGTATAAATACATTCAATTGGCTTTAGAGCATAAAAAAGAAAATTGTCATCAATTCTAGTTCCAATTTTTTTCCTCCAAGAATTTAATACTATTTCTTTGAGCAAGACTAGCTATATATATATAAATATATATAAATCTAATATTTTTCCAAAGGAAAGAACATTATGTAGTAAAATCTAAAAGAATTAATCTATTTAATTTTGTGATCTAAATACATATTAGAGCAACATGTATTTAAATTAATTTCTTTCATTTTGTGCACTATGTTCTTCTAAAGAATAGTGACCATTCTAAAAGAAGTTTATGTAGTTAAAACCTAACATTACTACAAGACCAAAGAAGATAAATAGATTATGTTTTGTAGGATGGGAACCTTTATATCTACAACTTTACATAAGATAATATTGGAGAAATCCATTTGAACTTTTTTTTTCTTTTTTCTTAGGTTTTACTATGATTATTTAGAGCTGGACATTTTTACAATATGTGAATAACTCTCTTTGCTATGTAGAAACAAATAAAATATATTTTTTAAACTGATTTGACATATTATATTTAATGTTTTTTTGTTTCATATAGAGAAGTTCTAAAGGTAGACTAAATATTTTAAATGGTTTCTTTTGAATGTACAAGAAACTCAAGGCATTAAGAAGGAAAAATAAAATAAAAATGGCATGTATTCTTGCATAATACAATTGCCAAAAGAATTTTTGTTAGAATTGAGTAGTAGAATCTTTTCATCAATGTCTAGAAAACTTATCATCATTAAGAAATAACCTTTTTAAGAATGACCTATCTATAATCAATAAATTACTTATTATTTATTATTGATTTAGAAACCATTGTTTATGCACTATGTTAGAAGATTTACTATCTATAATTCTAATAATAATGATATATTAATTTAAATATAATATATCTTATAGCATTATTTTAATATTAACATCAAGAATGCAATTAGACTTACAAAGCAACAAACCTTTGAAGGCCTTTAAGAAACTAGCTATTAGATCTTTTCATGGTATCAAACTAAGTAGTTTAATTTAATACATATTGTTTTTATTTAGAGTTTTAATGTCATGTTTCTACTTAGTTATTGCTTCTTAATTGGATTACAACTACATAGGTTTAATATCTACTATATATGTGCCATGCTATAACTATGGTTGCATGTGAATCCATGTTGTATTGAAATTGAGTGTACAATCTTTGATCTTTGTTTATGTGAAATCAAAGAATTGATTTATATCCTAATAATATTTAGTTAATTAAAAATTAGCTAAAACCAACTTAATTGAATTAATTAGAATCCTAATAAATAATTTAATTGGTCTTGCTTTTCTACTCCAATGAGTTGCTAGAGAATAAAATTAAACTGATTATGGTTATAAAACAATATATTAAAATACATTAGGAACAATCGGAATTACTTTAAGCTAAAAGAAATCAAAATCTTAGTTATGAAAAAGATTTAAGAGCTTAAGAAACATGATACTAATTTTCTATAATCATACCAAATAATATTTTAACAACAACAATATCTTCAAGAGACAAAGAAGATTTGTTAACCTTTGGTTTTGAAATAGAATTGCATGGTTTACAGGGAATAAAGTTGAGTGTAAGAAGTAGAAAGCATTTGTAGAATTATGTCTTTGCACATCACAACATAAAAAGTCCATAAATGGTAAGCAAGTTCAGATGCAGATCTATGAAAATTCACATCCTATACATCGAAAGACTTGCAAGTAACCTTGAGTGCCCATCACTTCATAGTGTGGTGTTCTACCGCTCATCTTTGGTACTCGTCAGAGAATGTTGTGATGAATTAACTCTTGAACTACAAACGATACAATCATATTCTCCCTCTCCATAGATCTAGGTGAAACGGATGTTCAACTACCAGAAATTGTTCAAGACTTAGAGCATAAAATGACAAAAAAAAAATCGAACATGCCATTTTTGCTTAGATTTTGTAACTTGTGTATGTGCAACTGTGTAACAATCTTAGCATTGCTTGCACATAGTACGACGACCTTATAGAAGATTACAACTTTCTTCGAAATTTGAAATGGGGGGATAGTAGTGAAGCATCAGTATGGTGACCAAAGATAGACAGTTGAAGGATAGAGAGCACCCTCGTCTCCGGAGCACTGCGATGACGGCACGCAAACGCCAAAGATGGCTCTTACTAGACATCGGAGGTGATTGTAACACTTTGATCTCGTCATCCTGCAGGTTGCAAGATGGTCGCACGCTAGACACGAACGACATGGGTAAAATTTGTATAGATCGTTTCGGATGTCAAGATTACTGCAGAAGGGACTCGATCTCTACAGCACAATAAGCTACAAGGTTCATTGAAAGGGGTAAATCAAGGATCTGAGTAAGCGTTTCAAGCTGCAAGATCAAAACCTACAGGATGAACACGAGATGGATTCGAGCTCAGGTCGGCACTCACTGGAGAGGACAAGTCCCTGGGCTCTGAGGATCATGCATCCGAGAGAATCCATCAACATCTTCATTCTGCACAGTCCGAAAAGCTTGGACTAACGTCCCAAAGGAGGGTATTGGTTCTAACTTCCAACCATTGAGGGGGCGCCGATCACATAAGCGTCGAGGATTAAGCGAGTGAAGGGGTACGGCTATCTGTGGACTCCAACTTTTTAGACCCAGAAGTCTGCACTCTGTTGACATAGCGGAATTTAGAATGTACAAGATAAATAACATTCTAGCTTTTATAGAGAAACCGTGCCCCAGGAGTGAACTAAACATTGAGTCATTCACCAGCGACACATTTTGTCGTCCTGCCTTCCCGTTGCAACTCAGACGACAGTCCAAGTGACAGAGGGATGGGTTAAGTAGGTTATCATAAAATACTGGGAATTGGAATCAACATAGAAAACATACTTTGCAAACACCAATTCACGGTTTAGAAAGAGTTGTCGGAGTTTGACCTCCAACTAAAGTGGATTTACCAAGACAATCACCCCGTATTGTCTACTAGATGATAATTTGTTTCACAAACTGTTTCACGGGGCACTCTAACGGTTGGATGCCCTCATTGAATGTAACAAGTAGGTTAATGGAAACGAATTAGGGACCGACATTCAGCAGAGTAGAGAATTGACTACCAATTCTGTAACAGCTCTTCCAAAAGAAGGTTTTAAGGGCACAACATACCAGAATGAGTTGATCATTCCTGAAAAACAATGGTCTAAGTGAAAAAAGTTAAACAATCCCCAGAAAAGATCCAGTATAGCGTCAGGAGTTCGGAGTACATTGCATACCAACAATGTACTAGTTTGAAACAGTCATTACAGACTAGCACAAAGGAGAAGGTCCAGTGTTCAGACAGATGAGGCATACGTCAATTCAAGCTTAGCCCGGTTTAATTGCTTCAAAATACAATGCCTCCTTGCCCTCCCCCGAAGGATGAAAGACTAGGACCTAAGCGATTTGCTGGGACTTGTTCAGGATAACTCCCTCGTACTTAACCTGGAACCACTTCATAGCATCCTCTTTAGTCACACGGTGCTGGATACCAACACGGGACTTAGCCCTCCTCCTTCTCCCGACCCTGTACCCAGGGCGTTCGAGTACGACGTAGAAGTCCATACCGTAGATACCTGTGGAGGGATCGTACCTGTAGGCAGATTGGCGGTAAATTTCAAGTCCGTGCTAGAAAAAACACACAAATTTCGATTACTGTGTTCAACAGAAAGGTATCATGAAGAGTCAACTTAATTGACATAACGTAAACATCCAATATTCACTCTGTTAGGATTGAATTTCACGCACGATAGCAGTTTGGTGCTGGTATAAAGGCTGTGCCGTGCAAAAGGACAAGGACTTACTTGATGCCGAGATCAATGTGCTCCTGAATACCAAACCCAAAGCAACCAGATTCACTGAAGTTGCGACGCAGCAGCTCGTATTCCTTAACCTTCAACCCACTCTCGAGAAGTTGCATAGCCTTCTCACCACGTACGGTGACATAGCATGCGATTTTCTCATTACGCCTGATGCCGAAGGAACGCACAGTGTACCTAGCTGGAAAATGGACAAAGAAAACATACTCAGATCAAGCTGGTCCTAAAAATATTTACAAATACGTCATCAAAACAACCCAAATTAGGGACAGTTTTCCGAATGTATCACTGCAGTAGTCATATACGACAGGAAGCCATAGGTACTTTGTCACTGTACCCTTGGAAAAGACAGGGCTTTGACCGCTCAGCTGCTCCAACACCTGTGCAGGCAAGGAATCGTGGGTTAAGGACAGTTTAGTGCAACCTGTAGACTACGCGCACATGCGCACACACACCAAAAACTTAAAAGAATAAAAGAATAAAATAAAATAAAATAAGAATTGTATTAATTACTGATCTATGTCAAAAGCGGCTCCAAAATCAAAAACACACAAAATTGTCTAATCACCTTGGATGCACGAGTTAATCTGTCTCCACTTTCCCCCACGGAAATGTTGAGAACAAGCTTTTGCACTTTGATCTCCCGCATGGAGTTCTGTGACTTCTTTTCGGAAGCCTGGACCACCGCAAAAACCACGTCATTTCCTTACTACCTGAAATACAGGCTACCAGAATTCGAAACATTACATTTCCCAAAAACGCTCAACAAGAACCATCCTTGCATTTGCTACAAAACAGGCTCAAAATGCAATGTAACTGCCCAACGATGACATTCTAGGGCATGGCCTGACCAGTCGAACGCCCAAAATAAACTAAACCCTAATCCAAACGCTCTTCCACGACCACAAACCGGAGAACGACAAAGGTAGTTGGTCGAAGAAAGTGTTCGATACACACAGAGGAATCGCTCTTGAGTTCCGACAGACACAAGTATGATAAAAAAAAATCACGCCATCCAAAGGAGCTGCAATAAACCCTAAAACATCAAAATTCAAATGAACCCAAAAAAACCCCATTGACAAAATGAAAAAAAAAAAAAAAAAAAAAAAAAACACTGGGGAGATGCTCGCAAAACCATACGAAACGCTTTAGAGAAAGTTGGGGACATACCATTGCGGCCGATTTGCTCACAACACAGGTGATGGCGGCCGACCCGAACGCAAGGGAAAGAGAAACAACAGATCTGTATTCCTGTTCTTAACAAGCTCAAGTGTGGTGGATGAATGAATTACAACTAATGAACGATTAATCATAGCAAGGTTGTGCGCTTTCTTGAAAATGATTTGTTCCCCAGTTGCTACAGAGTCCACAAATTTTTTTTAAAATGGGAATTATTAAGGTTCTGCAAATCTAGTGTAGAATTCAGATGCTCGGAGACTACTCCATTTGCTTTTTTAAAATATTTTTTTCTTGAAATAAATCATGATAATCATATTGGTGTTTTAAGTTACTGTTTGATTGTAGAGATATTGGTGGTTTAGATTGAAATGCTGCAGATAAATTAACTGATAAAAATGTCTTGCACTGAAAAAACATTAAATATTTTGAAGCAGTGGAGGAAAAAAAAATTAATGCATGCTTCAAACAGTATACTACTATTGTGGTTTTGTGATTTTCTGATTTGTATTGGTACTAATAATATTCGAATTAGAGGCAACACTAATTATTAGTATTAATGTTAACATCGATAACTATAACACCAGAAAAATCGAGTTTTGATGATGCTCACTTGAAAGATGTTCAGATTAGAATAATACATACAAAAGTATAATTTTAAATGTCAAAAAGTTACACATCCTATATAAAAATACATAAAAACAACCCTCATAAATCTTAAATCAACTTATTGGCAATAAAATTCAATTGATATTTCTACTAGGACAGTTGTAGATGATTTCTATCATTTGACATCTTGAGAAACTTCTCTTCTTGCTATACTTGTCTTCCTAATACTTGCACATTTTACCTCCAATGTCTCCATAACTTCTCTCCAATGTAAAATAGTCTTTATGTTACATGTTTTTACATTTACATATGACCTCTCAAAACTCAACTTTCTCGGAGTTGCTCCATTACAACTGTTCTCCATTCTTCACTAGCATACATATTCTGAGGAGTTCCATTCTCTACATCTCTTATGCCCTTGCACAATCAACACACCACCACTACCAAAATTAAGGGATTGGTGAGAGAAAATGACCTTATAGCCATACTTGCAAAGATGTAGTGGGACAACAAAGATGAGTTGATTTAAGATTTAGATGGGTTGATTTAATATTCTCAATTGGAAATAGAACATATCTATTCAAACATAAAAAAATAACTTTTTAAATAAAAATATATTCACTAAGCATACAATACAGCTATTAAAAGTTTAAATTTTATAATAATATTAATTAAAATTATAACATCCAGAATATCTTCAAAAATAATCAAGTAATGTTTATGATAAATGTAATACTATACCAACTATTTCTAATATGTAAAAAAAAAAAATGAAATAATTATTTATATAAGTGATTTTAATTGTATAAACATAAAAAAAATTTATTGTCAATGTACTTGTTTGTGAGTAAATCATAAAGATGAATCATAAAGACTTATTTAAAACATATAATAATAAAATTATTTCTAGTAGTATTTACACTATGTTTAATATAAATAAGTATTCTTATGTCAATAGCTTACCACTTGTGACTACAAAAGTTACATTAATCATTAAACATTGGTGCAAAAAACTACTTCATGTTATTACTATTCATTCTCCAAGTACAATTTAAGTCTTTAGTATGAGCATGGTCATTCAAAATTGAGCAAAATTCCATACTACATAGCCAATTTAAACTTACATACTTCAAACTTTCTTACAACTATTATGTTTTTTAACTACTTTATTTTATTGGTAAATAAAAATTTAAGAGATGCTATTCCAAAAATATAAGATATTGCTAATACTGTAAATATTTGATACATGTATTTGTCTATTGTGTAATGTAAAGAATTGTTTAGATAATAATTTGCACTCTTTACTTGTTATTGAATTCATATAAGACAAGTTTTGTTTATCACATCATATATGTATGTGTGTATGTCTATATATATATATATATATATATGTGTGTGTGTGTGTTTATTGTGCATACAAATATGTGGCAAGTTCTTTTGTAGAAAAGTTAATGAAACCATGTTTCTTCAAAATTTTAAAATTTCAAACATTGTTATGTTTTATAATTTATAACTTCATTTGTATGTATTTAAAAATAGAATTATTTTTAACATTTGAATATTATTTACCTTCCTTATCTTATAATATATTTCTATAACTTCTAATTTATATAAGTAAAAAAACATTTCTTGTATTGAATTTTGTTATTAAGATAAAGGGCATTTGTTGAATTCATATCATTAGTGCGACAATTCTCAAGTGTTTTTTTTAAGGACTATGTTAGTATTTTTGATGTTTTTAAATTTCTTGAAAATTATAATACTATTTTTTGTAATTAATTTTGTATTTTAGAATGCAAGTAGTTTTTAAAGACTGCATTTGTAATATTCAATAGAGTTTTCTAGAAAATACAGCATTTCAAATAACAAAATTTTGATAGTTTATATGTTTTGCTTTACCTTATTGTTAATGATTTGTTCACTGACAAACATACAAGTAAAACACAGCCATATTGTTTTCAAAGAATTCAAAACTTTGATATCATTTTCTTTTAAGAAATGGTTAAAAGCAAGCTCTTTTCCCACAAGTAACCATCCAACCGAAAACATTGCTGATCGATCTGCTCAACGAGTGCTTCACGCAAATGCAACGCAAAGGTCAAAACATTTTTTTCACAAAAACCAAAACCCAAATGGATATGTCTACATGGCATGTCTTAATGTAGAATTGACAAACAAATCTTCAACCCGCCACATTGAATGCTGCTAATCCTCATGTAATGTACCACATTTCTGTTCCATGGCAACAAAAAAGAGCTCACAAAATTGTGGAAGAAAACTGGCATTCAGGAAAGGCTAATTCATAGGGCTCATTGAAGGCATCGTTGTCAATGGAACCAGAACTGTGAATCCGAAACTGGGTTTGGATGTTTCCCGATGCCTCCTTTCACTACTTGCAGTGTTTTCGCAGTGGGATGCTAGCGATGTTGAAATGAAGCTCGGTGAAGGGTCCAAGTGCTACAACGTGTTGCGCAGGTGCCGCGACAACTGTAACGTCAACGCGGCGAGCGACAGCACAGGATTCGCCGACGAGCTGTAGGGTAGCACGGACATATCGCACACATACAGGCCAGGGTGCCCGCGCACCATCAGATCCTCGTCCACCACCGACGGCGCGCTGAAATCGCCGCTGTCGAGCCGATTCGTCGCCGGCATGCGCAGCGTGCCGACTGAGTGATGGACCGTGCCATAGCCGAACCCGCGACCGTCTTGGCCCAAGTATCCCACAGGAGACGCTGGTGCGCCGTCTTTGCGAAATTGCGAGAAGATCTTGTATACCAGGTCGTTGAGCACTGCGAATATCTCCGGGTTAGTCTTCCTCCATCCTGCTAGATTCCTGAACCGGTTTTGGGAGAGGTCGTCCATCCACTTCAGGTTTTTGAACTGGATCTGGGGGACATATGTCGTTCCTGAGGACAGGTTTAGCGTGTTCTCGTCGTCGAGGAGGTTGCCGAAGCTGAACTTAATCTCAACGACGGACTCTTTGATGCCCACGGAGACTTCTGGGCTGGTGGGATCATTCTCACGCAAATGCCAGTACTCGTGGTTCACATTCATCTCAATGTTGAATGGGTACCGGATGGGGCTCCCAGGACCCGCTTCCCGCAAGCCTCTCGAGTAGAAGACGATCTTCGCATGGCCGTTGCGAGGGATCTCAGTGTTGCCGATGTGCGTCACATTTCCTTGAATCCAGTTCGTCGTCGGGTGATCTGTCAATCCTTGCCCGACGATGTCCTTAATGGCCTGCGATAAGGAGTTGAAAACAGGCGACCGGCGTATGATTTTGGGGCTTTCGAGTGAACCTGCCGCCAGCACCACGGCTCTTGCTGTGAATTGGCGAATTCGTTTTCCGATGATGTCTTTCACTTGCAATGTGCAGCGACCATCACCTCGCTTTTCCACAGACTCGACGTAGTGGTTTAGTAGCAGCTGAAGGCGATTCTGGTTAGCGGCGTTGGGGTCCTGGGGTTTGAGGCCAATTTGGTTGATGAGAAGCTCCGCGGTGTTGAATACCCCGGTTGGTTCAAGAAAGAACTCCTTCGCTGGAGCGCCGGATGGTGTCAGATAGGGTTGATGCAACGCTCGCGGTGTCTCCCTGATATCGAAGTGCTCCGCGAGCGGGCTTTGTTGAAGAGCTTTCACAATGTTCTGTGCCGTGTTGCCCATCGTCACAGAGACATTGAGCTTGTTCTGAGCTTCCTTGAGGTCTGCACTGAGGCGCGATCGCACATTCGGGGGGAAGAACTGAAGCTCCCACGGTTGCACCGAGGGGATAAGCCCAGACCAGAAGATTGACCGTCCACCAAGGTTAAGCTGCGGCTGCTCGCCAATGTAGTACTGGGTATTGTCGTCACCCGTCTGCGTGAAATTCTGTACGCCATACTTGCTCGCCACAGATGCATTTGGAAATCGACTGACGTTGTAAACGTGGGTGGGGAAGAGATAGGAGCCGGCCTCGATCACCAAAATGCGTAATCTATTGCTGTTATCCGCTATATCGTCAGCTAGTATTCCGCCCCCAATCCCTGAGCCCACGATCACTATGTCAAAATCTTGCCCATTGCCGGTATACTCAGCGAACAGCCGTTGCTGCGTCTCGCTCTGTTGAGTGATCAGATTATTGTACGTTGTCTCCGTAAAACCCGACATGGCTCCTTGCTTATCAGGGGAAGCCACTAGTACTGCTCACTGTGTCAAGATTGCTTTCGACAAATGCCACTCCGATTCTAGTAAACTAAAGGTTCAAATGCTGAAAACAAGCAGAACTGCAAAATGCGAGGTTGTCTGGACTGCGGCTATGAAACGGATCTGTCTCAGCTGGTTAATCCAGTCCTAGTCGACCAGTAAACACAATGCAAATCTGGGTTCTACTCAACTACTACTCGATCGTCTGCGGACGGCAACAGACGCTGAGTTGTCGAGATCACTGATCGTTCCTAAATATATGCACAGGATTGTTAGGATTCTTGTGCTTCACGAACTGCCAGGCGCACGCAGGTCGCTACACACAAGAAAAACGTGTTTCTTTATTGTTATTGAAGACATTCTAACGATTGGCCAAGTGATCCCTCATGGCCTTAGCTTGCTGCGGAATATCTCTGATCCAATTGTCAACGACTGATCATGCCAGTGAAATTCGTTTCAGCGTCTGCGAAGCCGTGCCTAGTACAAGGCGTGTTGGTAGATATGTGGAATTGCGACACCATGATCCCAGACGTTTTAATGCTTCTTAGGATTCCAATCGCGGGTGGAGACGACATTGGTTTGTGTGTCTGTTGGTCGATGCTCGTGACCGCTACACCCAAGGTATGTTGTCGGTAATCGGAAAGTGTTGCCAGATGCGACGAAAGAAAATCATCCAAGGAATGCGTGATGACGAACTTCAAGGAGAACGGTGACGACCGCTGTACCCTAAAACGCAATAGCCACACAATTTGGATCTCTCTGAGTGTATCATCCGACTGTCATCAGCCAAGCAAACCGCATCTTTCATGCTGGAATACTATGTGGGGTATCATCCAGTGTTACTTTCAGAGCTCAGTCTAAGATTGAAAGCTACGATCTCAGTTTGCGAGAGATTCAAACATCAAGTGGGTTCAGCGTGATCGCTATGAGCAGTCTTGATTCGTTTTGCAGAAACAGGCACTGTGCTATATGTGAAGTTGATAAACATGCATTTTCGAGAGCCCAGCTGAGTATCACACATATATCATATAGAATGCTACAGGCTTTTGTTGGTGCTACCCAACCTGCACCACCCTTTTGTGTGACTTTTTGTGTAACAACCAGCTGAAGGGCATTACCTACAAGATACAACCCACATTTGAAGAAATTATAGATAAGCTCTTAGCTAAAACATACATTAAATGGCAATAAAGAGACAAAAGTTAAGACAAGAGGAGGCTTTGGAAGCACAACTTCACCACACTTTCTTTGAGAGATGAGGACAAGTAGGTGGTTGAAGAAGAAGAAGATTTGTTCAAGGAATATTACAAGTTTTTGGAAGACCAAGTCTTTAGATGATCAATCAACTCAAAATCAAGCCAAGAGGACCATCTAGCTATTTGGGAGCAAAAATACAATCAATTTTTGACTCAGCTTCCTAAATTTGGATAATATAAGAATGTTAGACCATATTACTATTACACTTGCAGAAAACCAAATCATATTGGCCACAATTGACTATAGAATAAATATTATAGTCACAACATCAACAAGTTATATTGACAAGACAATTGAGGCCAATTTTTTTGAATATCAAAATAAAAATTAATATGCCAATTCAAGAACTAGCAACCACTTTATTGCAAAAATTTCAAATCTCTAATTGATAGACAAAAAACTTCAAATAAATTAATAAAGACAACAAACAACAAATCCCACAAGACCAAAGCTATTGGATCGACAAATATAAACTTAAGATTTAGAGCAATAAGCTTATATGGTATTATATATATACTAACATTAATCCAAAACTTGATATCAATAGCATCATTAATATATAATGGCACAATAGTTGTATTCACTAATAAATAATGTTTGATATTAGATAATGAGCACAAAAAGAAAGTGATAGCTACAAGAATAAGGAACATATAAAAAAAGGCTTTATTAATTATACAAAAAAATAAAAAAATTTGAAGCTAATTTTAATTACTATAAATATAAATATATAATTACAAGATAAAAGGTATGATCACTTGCATTATATCAATTTATAATATTTTTTACAAACTAATTAAATGCAAGGACTGCCATTCTTTAATACAATCTAAGAAACTTGCAAAGATTGTTTAGGGAAATGATAATACTAAGAGAAATTTTCAAAAGCTTCAATGCATCATATTAAAAAATATATTCTAATTCATTTACTTTGATTTAGTAGGATTCATGAAGATACTATCTATAGGAGACTTTAAGTACTTTGTTGTTTTTATTGATGACTACTTTCCTAAAATTTGGATTTACTTTATACAAAGTAAGAATAAAACTTTTGGAAAATTTTGAGAATTTGAAGTATAAGTAGAAAGAGTGACAAAAAATTGAATATGCAATTTAAGAGAAAATAGAGATAGAGAATATTTGTCATACAAATTTAACAAATTTTTAATTAATTACAAAATAGTAAAAGAACTTACCATGACTTGTATTTTACAATGAAATGAAGTTAATAAATGTTAAAATATAACATTGATAGAAAGAACACACCAAATGTCAATTGTCTCCTAATTGCTTAGATATTTGTGAATTAAGGCCCATTCAAATGGCTAACCACTTAATTACTTTTAGTTCTATTAGAGCCAATCATGGTATAACTCTAAAACAAATTTATAGTAAAATCAAACTATATGTAGACTACTTATGAGTTTTCAACTCTATTTCCTATTTACACATTTCAAAGAAAATCCACTCAAAACTTAAGAGTAAAATTGCTAGGTGTATATTTTTAGGATATGATGACCAAACAAAATTTGATAGGATTTTTGATCCTTTGTATTATAAGATATTCATAATATGTGACTTTATATTTGACAAAATACTATTTGGATTTGATCATGTCAAAAACCACTTGAAATATAATAGAAATTACAACACCTAGATATAAAGACAATATTCTTGAATGTCAAACTTGAAGAAGAAGTCTATGTAACATTATCTCTAGGGTTCAAAGAAAAGGGAGTCAAAGACAAAGTCTACAAGTTAGAACAAGACTTGTACAACTTATGGCAAGTTCTTAGAGCTAGTTATGGTAGAATAAACAATTATATATGAATTCAAAGCTTTCAAAAGAATAATAAGGACTCTAATGTATATTTCACTATACATAATAGAAAACATACCATAATATTATTCTATAAAAGTGGCATCATCATCATTGGTGATGACACAATTGACATTCAAAAATTCAAAGAAAAATTAATAAACACCTTTGAAATGATAGACCTTAGAGATACAAGATTGTACTTGAGAATTTAGCTACAATACACCAACACAAAATTGGGACACATGTAGTTGAGCTAAAATTTTATTAAAGTTTTGTTAGGAGACTATTCTATATAATAAACAATAGATAGGACATATGATTTGTAGTGGTAGATATTAAGATACATGAACATCCTTCAATTTATTCATCTAGTAGCTGCAATTTTTTTTCAAAGTACTTCAAAGATTTAATGGATTATAAAATATTTTATTTTATGAGAGATAAAAGAAGTCTCGTCATCTTTCTTGATGCAAATTGGGCAAGAGATGTTGACTCATGCAAATCTATGTTGGAAATCCTTTATAAATTGGGATCAATATCAATAGCTTTATCATGCAAACTTTAATCATCAATTGCACTCTCTTCTATAAAAGTTGAATATTATGTCATCTTTGAAGCCACCTACTATTGTGTAGTAACACAATTGTATGGTAAAAGAGAAAAAAATAGGGTCTATTATAGAAGAGCTTAATTGAAAAATATTGTAATAAAACATAAGTAAAAAGATAAGAAGGTAGTAAAATCATTTAGTGTTAATATTGTATTTTTGTAAAAAAAGCTTTTACTTACTTTGTAGGATCATAAATATATATATATATATATATATATATATATATATATATATATAAGATTAAAAAAAAGATTATAACATTTTTATAAAGAAAGTTAATAAAAATTTGTAGTAAAAATTATAGTAAAATCTAAGAATTGATACTAAAAGAGGATCAATTATAAATTAGAATTGAAATAAGATCCTAAGATATAAAACTATAAATGTATGGAAATTTTGGGATTTGTTTGCATATTAAAGAATAAAATTAGAGAAGAGACTTTAGGGAAAAAATTGAGTATTTTTTTTGAAGTGGTATGAATTGTTTTTGAATTTTTGAGAGTTTTCAAAGTTAAAAATATTTTTGATGATTTTGAATTTATGGAAATAAAAAGAGGTTAATTTTTCAAAATCACAAAAAATCTTGGTAATCCAATTTAATTATTTTAAACATCAAATAAACAAATTCTTCAAGAAAAATATTGTGAGAATATAATTAAATATATTTCTATAATTTTACAAATTTAGAAAGAAATTGAATTATTAAATAATAAATAACCATTGCTAAAAGATCAATTATAATATATTAATTTTGATTGTATAATTTTGAACAATACAATTAATAGATATATAATGATCTAAATATGTTAGATCTCAATTAGAACTTATGATGTACTATATAACAACATGACAATCTTATTGCACCTTGAAGTTATGGAGTTTTTTACAACACTTATATGGCTATCAAATAAAATAGGAAAAAAAAAAAAAAAAAAAAAAACTCTTTAAAAATATTATTGCAAGGTTTTATTTTCTTTAATTTTAAAAACATGTATATATATTAAAAAAAATTCTACATATGTAATAAGGTCATTCAAATACGTTCTTAGCTATGGTTTTTTTCTTCTAATGTTACGTCTATCAAACTTATTATAATATATGTATTATATAAATGTCAATATACTAGTTTCTTTTGATGCAATATAATTGAAATACTTTTTAATTAAAAAATGATATTATAAGATAAAAATTTATTTATGTATTGTCTTAAAAATCCAATCATAGACTATTTACATGAGGAAATAAAAAAATAAGAAAAAAATATATATTAAGATTATAAGCAAGTATAAGAATAAAATTTCACTTATTATTTATTTATTATTTCCAATTTTTTTATAAAATATATTTAATATAATTTTCAATTGTGAATATTTTTTGTTGCAAACAAGTAATGTATCAATATCTTTTAAGTATTAAAAATATCAATAATAATATGGTTATTTAAGAATTGATTAAAAATATTATTATCATTATTCTTGTTTTAAAAAATAAATAATTTCTAATAAATATTAATAAAAAATAATAATTTTTATATTTAAAAACCTGTAAAAAACTATTATTTGAAAATTGACACTCCAATATGAGTTTTTAAAATGCAAATATATAGAAAGTTATTATTATTATTATTATTATTATATGTAATAGATATCTATTCAAAAAATATATTTTTTTCAATATGTCAGAGCATTATACCCAGAGACCGGGGATTTTTTATTTTTATTATTTTAGGGCTGGCCAGACAGCTGAAAAACGAAATGGATGAAAAACGTTGAAGTCTGAGGGCTCCCAGACTGCGTTAAACGAGGTGGCTTGATACCCGGATCAACACATTTGTGTGAGGTCCGGTTATAATCATTAAGGGTTTGCCCTAACTTTGGCCCTCAAACCACAGACCTCAGTCACTGTCTTTCTCTTTGGCTGACTGCACGTCAAGCTTCTGTGTTGGCGAGGCAAGGCGGTCACCATGGTTAGCATTCCATCCATTCCTTCTGCTCCGGACTCAGTGCATTTGTTAGTTAGGATTATTTCAAAGGTGTTACATCTTCGATGCTGCTCCTTGTGATTTGGATGGGACATGCAATGTCAGCTGTGTGAATAGTTGTTTTTGGCAATTGTTAGGTTTTACTGTTGATGATCCTCACTGAGGATTGCATGATTTGCTAGGTGAACGTTCCGAAAACGAAGAAGTCCTTCTGTCCTGGGAAGTCGTGCAAGAAGCACACCCTCCACAAGGTCACTCAGTACAAGAAGGGAAAGGATAGTCTGTACGCACAAGGTTGGTGGTTGATTTTGTCCTCGCCATTTACAGTGAAATTCAATCTGTTAGCCTTCAATGCAGCGGGTGCAATGGTGATATCTGCATTTTGATTATATCACTTTGTGAAGACTTTAGATCACTTGTAGGAGATCGTTTTTCGTTTGGAGTACAGATATGATGAAGCAACCCATTTGCTAGAGACAGGGGCAACTTTGTCTAGTCGCTGCAGTGTAAAAGGTTTTTGTTCTAGATGTTCGATTGTGCGTCAGAAGGAGGTGTCATGTGTCACCATCTGCTGATAAAATTTCGCGAATGTGATCCATTGAGGTTGTAGGCTCAAGTAACGTGAAATGATCAATATTTATATTTTTTGGACTGCTCAGGTAAGAGGCGTTATGACAGGAAGCAATCTGGGTATGGAGGTCAGACGAAGCCAGTCTTTCACAAGAAGGTTTGTTTTGCCTCACAACCGCAATGTATCCCGATGCATTTCCGTGGCTTCTTTATTTTGATTTTCGTTTTTACAAAATAATTCGTCTTCTTTGCAATTTTTTAAGCATGAGGTATTGCAGTCCAGTTTGGTTTAAAGGCTTTTGAATAGTTCGGATAAAGCGCCGGTTATCTCATAATCCTGGAGTTTCGGGGTTTCAAATGTGGGGCAAATGTTGTTATATTTGGACTATGCTTTCGTGTATCTTTTTACCGATTTATGTTGTCTTGGAATCTCAGGCTAAGACTACCAAGAAGATTGTGCTGAGGTTGCAGTGTCAGGCTTGCAAGCACGTGACACAACATCCCATTAAGGTGATTTAATCCGTTTTATCTTAGTTTTCGGCCATTTACATTTGCCTAGGAATAAGTGTCCGACTTCTATGCATAATTGGGACTCAAGTTATTTTATTCACATTCTATTATCTCTTGCCTCTTCCTCGCTATTCACTAGCCTGACGCGCACGTTTTTATGTAATCAACAGCGATGCAAGCACTTCGAGATTGGTGGAGACAAGAAGGGGAAAGGAACACAACTCTTTTAGATATAATGCTTTACTTTGTATTCCGAGAAATTATGAAGCAGGAACATACTTTTCAGTAGTTGCAAATTATGTTTTCAGATTGTGTTTGAAGCACGTGTGTATCATTTTCTGGTGTGAGAAGGATGGAAATTTTTTATGCGTTCTTTGATTTGATTTGCATCGAATGGGTAACCTTCAGTATCAAATCCAAGAGCTTACGGGACTCTCGTTCTTTTTGAAACAACGTAGAGTTCTTTGCTAGCCTAGAAAGGAGACATTGACGAACCCCAAGCCTTATTGAGCCGTACGAAATGAGTAAGTTCTGGAACACTGGACAAAGATGCCACTGTCACATTCGCAATAATGGAATAATAGAATTATTGTTTTGTGTGCTCCACGCCCCGAGAGAGTCTAGTCCAGGACATTGTCAGGCAACTGTTCCTCTCACAATTTCTTGATTTCACGTCATCCATTTGTTGTTTCCTAGTGTATGAGTTATCATGATACTGCTTATCCCTACGTTGTATTCGATGACCTCTCATTCTGTGGTCGATTTGTGGAGTATTGGTCATTTTTCAGAACAGTGCAAAGAGTTTTGAATATTGTATTACCAACATTGTGGGTATTCATAGCTGCTAGACTCACGCTTCAGGAGTGTGATCCTTCGCCGCAAGTTGGACTGATTCTGATCATTCAGGTTTCAACCATTGCAAGTCACTCTAGTTGGTTGAAGTCAGGAATAAACCTTAGCATGTTCGGTAAATAAGAGAATGTTGCTCTGTACTAATTGTAGAAACTTGGTTGATGAAGTTTCTTCTAACTAGGAACTAAATCTTTCAGCTGCATCTTGACACTTAATATTTGTGATTTCTATTTTGGTAAATTTAAAAGGATATTTGCTGAAATCATTTGTTTTTGAATGTTTGGAGTAAAAGAAATGTATATTGCTTTGCACACAACATACATTGCTGAAATTTTTTTGATTAGCAATACCTGAAAATGACACTAAATAAAATACAAACATATGTACATATGTATGCATATATGTATATATAAAGATATTTTTAATAAATTAGACCTTATGAACACCTAAATATTGTGCAATAATTTTGCTAAGTATATCAAATTAATAGTTGATATAAATTGAAGTACTTTGATAATAGTAATGTAAAAATATATTATTGATTATTTATTTATTTTCACTTGTCACCATTTTTGTGGTCTTATTTAAGCAATTTAAAAATATTAAAGATATACTTCATTGAAACTTTATTTCTTTTTCTTTTACTAAAAAATTAGTTCTTTATGATTTTTCATATAAACATTGATATATCAAGTGCTAAAAACTAATCACAAAGTATATAATCTAAACCAAATACAAATTACAATCAATTCACTAAAGCAAAAGTTGTTATATAAACATGATTGGATATTAGTCATGAGGTAGGATATTGGTCATGGGATTATGTTTGTACCAATTGGTCTTCTTTGTTTTGTATGAGGTGAGAAGAAAGAGGTTGCTACCATGTTTTTGTGTAATTAATGCCAACGTAAGTGGCATATGGCATACTTGATGCCACCTCTTTCAACTCTTCCTTGAAAAGTTTGGATTTGTTCTTGTTGTAAGAAGTCTTCTAGCTATGTCTTATCTATTGATAAGGATTGAAGATTTTGACTCTTATGTTTGTCATACATTTTAGTAGTCTAATTACAATAATATCAACTTGGATGAGTATAATTTTGCAACAATATCATTATGGCATTCGTCTTCAATTACATGTGTTTTATAATCTAAGTTAAGTAAAGGGGCTCCTAATTAGTTAGAAAAGGATATAACATGGCATGGATAGGATATTTGTATTATTTGCATATAGAGATATGTAGATGGAGTCGTTTTTGGATTTTTTTTAGAATTTAGGTTAAGGTAGTGGTTCATGTGGGATCCACCATAGAATCCTCAAGAAAGACTTAGGGCAATTATCATGGTGGATCCACCTCTAGAATCTCTAAGATACTACTAAAATTTGGATATTTACAATGAAATATTATGATTAAAATTTTCAAGACTTAGAATATTTCCACAAAAATATTCACATTGTTTGCAAATTAAATCATGTTTGTCTTATTTTGTGTTGAAAAGCACAAAGTGAAACTACTTTTTTTATAGAACAAAGATATGTTGTTGCTAATATAAAAAATATATTTATATTTGAAAAAAAGAAGAATATATGAATTTTTAAAATCAATGATCTTTTAATATTATAATCATACATACATACATTTATTATGATTAATGCATATAATGCATGATATTTAAACATTGTGTTTTGGTTTTTATATTGAATTTGCTTATTGCATTGCAAGGTGATAGTGTGCACTCCACACCCTTGCATTGTGATCTCGCTATTGCAATGTTGTTTAAAAAAAGAAAAAAACAAAAACAAAAACACCAAATCACATACATCCAATGAGATTTGGCATGTGATACCACATCACATGATAGTTGTTATATAAGCATGATTGGTATACACACCACATCAAGTACTACAAACCAATCACAAAGTATGTAATCAAAATCAAATACAAATGCATAACCAACACACTCTCCAATACCTCCTTTGAAACAAGACCAGATTTTCTAAGATCTAAAACCTTACTAAATCCATAGCAACAAAGATCTCAACACAATGTAAGACCAAGCACACTAGAATAAAACTGAAAGATACTAAATGGAATGGAAATTCAAAGATAGGACTGTATAGAAGAGAATAGAACCAAATATTCTAAGTAGCATGAATTTTTGAAGTGTACAAATACTGTAGAACTAGTTGTAATAACAACACTTCTTTGGAGTTAAATGATTAATTGAATAAGCTTGAGCATCAATGAAAACAACTGCAGACAGTAGTTGGCAACTTGCGAACACAGAAAGACATGCCTCTCACTGAAAGTATGGAGCAGAGCAGTGGAGATTGCACGCAACCATAATCCAGAAAATAACAAAAAAAAATAAAAATAAATTATATGTATATATATATATATATATATATATATCCAAAAAAAAAAATCAAACTGTGGTTAGAAGCAAAACCCCATGCCATTGATCACAAAGTGTCCCTCCACCACGGCATCACCTTCTCCAACTTCTACTTTAAAGCATCAGACAACAGGGTACCAACACAACCCCGTGACCAGTGTCCCACCTCGTGACGCCCAGTGAAATGAATTCAGCGCAGGCAGCGAGTTTAGCACTCCAATGCTGGATCTCTTCCCGGCTAATTCTGAGGGTGGGTTGCTTACATTAGCCCATTTCTGTTTTGGCAATCTAGACACTCGGGTTGAGTTTTAGGATTTGGAATTGCATTATCATGGCTACGGTGGTTCCGAATTTTCTCCCAAGTTTGCATGTATCGTGCCAATGCGGACCACTTTTCGGAGTCCCCTAATTTTTCTGGTGTGGTGCAAGATTAGGGGAGTGAGCAGTGCACGTCGGATTGTGCAGTGCCACTTGTTAAGTCGGTTTGCTTTTTCTAAGGCTGGCTTTTTGTCACCTCTTTGTAGATCGTGCGCACCCCTCTTTGTGTTACTACTTCGGTTTGAGAAGGTGGCTCACTCCTCCTCACCGTGTGCCTTCACATCTCAGGCTGTGTGGAGATTGTGCGAATCGAGTACACTTACTACGTTTTAGCCGTCGGTTTGGCTTTCGTGAGCTTGGAGCATTTGAATGAGCCATCTGGGCGGTAAATACCATCACGGTTTTGTGGGGTGTCGAGGATGCTCTTTAAATGATGCAGAGAATTTGAGCACTTTTTTTTTTTTTTCTCCTAAAAATGTGCCATGTTTGCAAGCGTTTCTCGAATCCAGAGGTAGAGCTTGAAGCAATGATTGGACTTGCTACTCAGTTTGAGGATTTTCTCTTAGGTTTAGTGTTTCTGTAGGTTTGAACATTATACCCGTCGACGCGGTTGCTGAATGCGCGAAGCACAGACTTGAGTGAGTTGTCGCTCTCAAGTTGCGGAGATGCCTCGCGTGATTCTGCCGCTGTGGTTGTTAGTTGCTATTCAAATCGCGCAATCATGAAAGTTGGTTTGTGTTTACTGAAAGGGATCTCCGGGGACTTGGGGACCATGTTCTTTGCTTAGGGTAGGAAATCGTGGTGCTCGGTTGGAACATAGATCGCTAGTTTTTTCTACTTCTGTGAATATCCAAGGGCCTTTTGCTACAAAAATGGAGCCTGTTTGTGACACGAAGTTAGTCTGTAAGTCTTAGAAGTTGTGGCTATTTCATAGCTTGAAGCTGATGGGTTTGTATATTGGCGATTACAGAGACTATGAGACAAAGTTCGCATTCTCGCTGATACCATAAAGTCTTAGGAGTGCGCAGAGGATCGCCTGACTCTTTCGAGTTCTGACTTCAAAATGTATCGTCACCACTCTCCGCGCTACCAAGGGGCGAAGGGCTTGAAAGTAAAGCATGTTCTACAGATCGCCATACTTACAGTTATATTGACCTGGGTGGTGTATGAGCTGAGCCGCATCCAGAAATCCTCACCTTCCGATGGGCAGGACAGATCATCCTTACAGGCTACGATTCCAGAGCCACTTTCAGGGCGGAAGGTGCTAAAACCAAGAGACAAACCTGGGAAGTTAGACTGGGAGCTTGAGATAGATGACACAACGACGAAGTCTTCATCTGAAGGTGCTGCATCTTGCTCTTCACCTGATCACCAAGTACTCAGAGATAGTTTTATCTCACTATCACTTCGTCCAAGTTTTTTGGTGAGGTTATGAATTGGAGAAGAATTTACCACTTATGAGCAGCATGGATAGGGGTTCAGTAGCGTTTGAGTAGAGACTCAAACTGTCTTTCTAGGGGATTTGATTTAATCATTATGGTTAGCTTGAGCCTTCATTGCTCAGTATAGAGTGCTTTTATCGCTGGTGGTTTGTGAGCGAATTCCTCCGGGATCCCTATTGCCTCGTTACGTTATTTACATTGCTTTTGTTTCGAGTCGACTATACATTCTTACTGGTTTTTGTTATTTAAGTTTTTCCGCTCCGTAATTGGCTTGTATCTCTCGTTTTAGTTGAGTTTGCGAATCTTGAATTAAATGCTGGGGGGTTGTCAGCAGAGAATTTAGTTTGGTCCAAATCTGGGGAGGATCCCGCGATCAAAGAGCAGGCCTTGTATGGAATGGATATAGGTCAAACCACTGACAAAGGTAATATATATAATGTTGTGGAAAAACTCCTCTTACAGGTCATTGACGGTATGTAGTATCACTGTATGTGTTTCTTGCTGGTTTTTGAAAGATTTATTTATAGCTTAGGTCTCACTTCAGTAGGAAACACAGAGTGTCTCAGTAAAATTGTGTGGCAGATGAAAAGAGCCTCGAGGAGGAAGCACAAGCGAACGACGATGCAGATGGGCGTCGTGATGTGGGAACAGATTTTGCAGACACCAAGAATAAGGAAAGCTTGGCTGGTGACGAGGACAAGAAAGGGGAGGAAACTGAGGAGGTCACATATATGGAAGCGTATAATGCTGACTCTGGTCTCAAAGCCAAGCTTGATAAACAGGATGAAGTTGAAGCTGATGACACTTCACGAAGTCGTTTGAAGGAGAGGGATAACCCTGCAACAGGCAACTTGAAGGAAGACGACGGAATCTCTGACCAGGAAGTTACAGAGAGCAACGTGAGCACTCAAGATGAAGTGGAGGATGAACAAGTGGATCCAAATGCTCAATTTAAAGAGCACCCTGAGTTGAATGTAGACAACTTGGAGGAGAATAAGGGCTCTCTAGAAGTTGAAGCCAAGGAACAAAGATTGAAGAAGATGGTTGATACGCAAACACAAGGAGAACATTTTCGCTATGAACCGACGGAAGAAAACATTTTGACTCAGAAGCAAGGTGAAGAAGAGAAGGCAGAAGAGAAAATCGATGCACAGTTGGACCAGCAGAACGGCACTTTGCCTCGGTCCGAAGAGCAAAATGTATCAAAGAATGAGGCCGAGGTCAAAATTCATACACTTTCTCAAGAACAAGAGAAAATACAGGAGACCTTAGATTTAAATGACACTGTGTCTGGAACTCAGAAGTACGTAGCAGTAAAAGACGAAGAGGATTTGGAGAAGGCTGATGCTACCCAAACCCTGAAGGAGCCTCAGAAGGCTGCTAATGGAAGTGACAGTTCAACTCTAGTGTCTGAGGATGAGAGCAACAAGTATGTGCAACCGAAAGAAGATGATGCTGACCAAATGGATACGAGTGATAATCAGGATCAGGTGGCAGATGCAGAGAGGCTTCAAACCTCCCAATTGAAGCATACAGCAAATGAAAAGGAGGAGGCACAAGATCAGGATAATGAAGAAAAGGAAAATGATAAGGTTGAGGACCTTGAGTTACAAACAACTACTGAGCAGAAGAGTGATAGCTCTCTAGAAACCAAGCAAGCAGAGCAACAAGAGCCAGAGTTGGAAACTGATAGCAAAAATGCTGAAGATTCAAGTGATTCTTCTAGCGAAGAGGTGAAGCGTAGGGAAAAACATGACAGTGCAGTGACCGCAAATATGGATGCGTCTACAGTGGAGGAATCTAAGATAGAAGATGAAGTTTCCAAGAACGAGATATTGAACCAAGTGACTGAAAGTAATACAGCCGGAAGTGGGGATTTCACCAAGGAATCTAACGTCTGATCAAAGGGACACTAATGCACAAGCAGTAGAAGGTAACCTTGTGCGAATGCCACCTCTTATTTTTATTTTAATGATTTGAGGCCGATGCCTTGGTTTTGAAGAAAGGCAATTGTGTCTTACTTGGGCTTTCAACCTAATTTTCACCTTACGTGGCTTCTTCTTTCTAAATTCGGTTTTATACTATATCTGCCGCTAGATTGGGTTCAAGGCACCCACATATCAGTAGACGTTAGAAAATAGACTGATACTTAAGCACTGCATGAAGTGGAAGCTGTGTGCTATTGTTAATTTTCTTCCTACATTATAATTGTTTTTGTCTTCTAAAAATCGATACATCAATTTTTTTGATAACATATGTTTCATTATCTGGTTTAAGTTTCTTCTTTTTTCTTTTTTGCCTTCAGTTTGCTTATTTTAACTTTGTGCATTTGATATGTAGCTTAAAATTAAGTCTCCTTACAATCGAGCAACCTGTTTTGGAGAAAGACCGCAAGACCTAGGAGGAATGATGAGTATTTTAATGATGATTATGAAGCATTTCAGACACGGTTTAGAAGTCTATAGAACAGAAACAGAGAATTAGGGAGACTCAATCACACAAAGATACAGCGCAGCATTGATTTTCTGCAGTTCAAATTGCAGCTGAAAGCTCCAGTTTATATCACAGGTTAAGTTGGATTCCTCTATTCATTTTCCAGCAAGGCGTCAATCCTCATCTACTTCAACAGTCTGTTCTTACGAGGTGATGCTCATTGCTTCCACATTTTCTATAGATTTCTTAGGCTTGATCCCTGAGTTTATGAACTCATACTTCTAGCTCAATTTTTTTTCATCAATCAATGCTTCCGCAAATAATTAGTTTACTGCCCAATTTGTTTGATAATCATTTGTGTGTTTTGTGCTTGATATGTTTAGAGACCATTCTTATGAGGGAAATATAGACAGTTCATAGACGTTTTCAAAAAAAACTCTCAGAAACGTGATCTGTATGTAAAAATCTTATCAAATCCGTGCATAATATATTACGTTAGATATAAACTTCCTAAATATATTAAGATAAAAGCTGATAACAATAGTTAAAGCATGTAACATTATGTTGTATCAGATTTAGCATTCTACTTGTATAAATTTATAAACATGGCATAGTTTGTTTTTAGGTTCTTTTAAGTTTTATTACAATATCCTTGAGTCTAATATTGCCAATAACGTAGTTTGAATCCAAAGTTGAATCTGTAACAGTAATTCAATTTGGAAGTAATATGATTTAGTGCTAAAAACATGAAAGTGCATGCAGGTGCTGTAAATTTGGCTAGATTAGCGGTTAGAGACAATTTTTGCACGCACGAATAAGTGGAATTTTGTTTTGCTTATTGTCATTATTACTAGGCTTGTATTATGTATAGAAGAACCAAATTTATTTTTTGTAACCGCCAATAGTGTTAAATAAAAAAGGGGAATATTAAATCGACCCAAGTAAATCTTAAATTGACCCACCTTTGCATTTACTGCTTTTTATCATCCTGCTCATTCACTGCACTCCAAAAATCACTCTCTTTGATTAACAAGGTCACAAAAAGAGAAAAAAACTCAATTGATTTGGCCACTCATTGGATATGCATTAGAATCACATAATATAATTGTAAATTGTGAATGAGGAAACAAACTCAAAAGATGTAAAATTGAGTGATTGGTGAGGAATACATAACTTGACAATGAGAGTAAAAGTGGGTAGAATTAATATTTTTCTTGAGTTGATTTTATATTCTCCTTTAAAAAATCAACCATAATAAAAATATTTACTAATTAGTAAAGTATTGTTATGGCAAATGAAGTGTATAATCATGCTTGTTTTATTAAACTCAATTTAGACCTAAGAGAGGATCATGATGTAATGTAATTGATGTTTGTATATTATTTCTTCACTTTTAATTTCGGATGTTACAATGCACTTTATCCAATCATCAAATTTTCAACCTTAGTGTCATGTTTTAGATAGCCACATAATCCTTGGTTCTTGAATGTAGGACTTTGCATCTATTTGTATTATATTCTTTTATAAAATTAAAAATTTCTTTATTTCAATCAACATGGAAATATTAAAAAAGTGCAACTCTCCCATAGAAATTTGGCCCATTCCAGACCAATAGTCGGACCGCATTTCGGCTCCCCATCAAACCCATCGAAGGCAATTCCGAATCTTTAGCCGAACCTCTTGGCTCCAGGATTCCAGATCCGAACCCAAAAATCTCGAACCTGCACGGCTCCTCCACACAACACCGACCTCGGCGTCCAAGTAGGTCTGGACCCTACCAACCCACTGTGCGTCTCGACTGCCATGCCTGGCCCGAACCTGAACCGTCCAGGCCCGGTAACTCGTCTCTCTCCTTGGGCTTGCGGTGGACGCGCCAGGCGGCTGCGTTGCCCCTCGCACGCCATCGTCGAAGGGGAGCAGAGCGCAGGAACGCTCCCGATAGCACCAGTGGTGAGGCCTGCTGCTTCGCGATTTCGTTTCCTACAGTGTGCATGCTTCCCTTTCAGCTTTTCAGCGCCCGTTTTGGCTCAGTATTCGCTTGGTATTTACGTTTTCCAGGTCTCGACTCGAATTGTCCCGAATATGAAGGAAGCTACTATTTTCGTTTTCATAGGGCTTAATTTAATTTAATTTAATTATTTTTTAAGCTAGGGAGGCAGTATTTTGGTCATTGTTGAGGGGTTTGGTTTCGATTCGTGGTGAGATTTTGAGAATGTTTTACAGATTCGTGATTGTTGCGGTGAGCAGATGTTTAATCCACTGATTGTAGACGCAGCCGCCCTTTTGCGGTCGCTTCAGGTACGATTCGTGTGTACTGCCTTCTTTTTCTGGATTGCAAATACCGAGTTGCACTTTGGATACACTGAATGTGTTTGTAGTTGTGGATTATAGATTCTGGAAGTTGGTGGAGGATATTGTTTCAGCTACATGTTGCGCATGATGTGTAGCATGGTTTCCATACTTGTTCATTTCGATCTCATTCTTCTAAACTGGTGTAGCAATTCGTGAAATTAGGGATTTATAGATGTCTATTTTATGGTCATTGTTTTTTCAATATTATTTTATCTATTTTTTTTTTCATGATTTTTAGATCTAGGAAGTGCTCAATCTTGAACTGCCCGAATGAGAAGTTTCTCTGCTTTAATATTCTTTGTTAGTAAGAAATATGGCCTTCCATAAGGCATCAACCTATTCCAGCAGGCTTTTTGGAAACTAAATCATCAGAGGATTTTCCCTATCCTCCTGTATCCACAGCGGATTACTGTTTTCACAATTACTTCGCTGCCTTTCTCCAATCCGATATCAGAGTTCGCGAGGTTTTGGTCACAATCTCGGTCTTCATGTAATGTCTCACGTCTTTGCATTTAGAGTGCTTCACATTCTTGCAGTTTTATTTGTGTCGCTGCTTGTTTCACCATGTTCTACATCTTCCTATACTTCTTAAGTTTTCAGTTCCTCTGTCAGATTGGAAAGTTGACATTTTTCTTCCGAACACTACATAAAATTCGCTCTGAGAAATCAGAATCTGCTACTACATGCTTTGGGATTGCTAATTGCGATGCGTGTCATCACATCTGCTTAACATTGTTGCATGTAGGGTGTTCTGGTGACAGGGGTAAGTGCCCCCTTGGTGAGCGAATTCATCAATAGATCGAAATTTTGCACTGAAGACCAGAGAAAGCACAGCTCTTGTCAACAGCCGGCCGGCAGAGCAAAGTGCGGGCATCAGTTCTGCCGTGGTATGGATGCGTTCCACTGATGGACGAGTAGGGGAAGACAAAGGTACTGCTTCGTGAATTAGACTCGTGGTTAGTCGTGACGTGCAATTCTTCTTGGTGGCTTGTTGTAGGTCGGCGAAGGTGTTAAGCCCTTACATGGCTGCGGTGTCGTGCAGGTTAAAGAGCGGTCGAGAGAAAGCTTCGTGGATTTTTTTTGAGAACTGTTCGTTCAAGAGATATTGCAGTTGGCTCTGAGCGGAGGGCCAGCTATGGATGGGAATAAGGACGAGGGTTTGCGATGCATGAGGATGGGTGAGAGTGCAATGAAGTCGGGCAACAAAGCTCGCGCATTGAAGTTTTTAAATATGGCGAAGCGGATATATCCGAATCCTCAAGTGGACGCATACCTGCGGGAGTTGGAGGAAGAAGAAGAACCTGCTGCTGCGAAGAACTCTGCGAGCGAAAGGGAGTCCAAATTCTCCGCAGGGGCAGGCAACGGAGTGCACGTTGGCAAGGGGAATAAGGACGAGGGTAAGGGGAATAAGGACGAGGGTTTGCGATGCATGCGGATGGGTGAGAGTGCAATGAAGTCGGGCGAGAAAGCTCGCGCATTGAAGTTTTTGAACATGGCGAAGCGGATATATCCGAATCCTCAAGTGGATGCATTCCTGCGGGAGTTGGCTGAAGGAGAAGAACCTGCTGCGGCGAAGAACTCTGGGAGCGAAAGGGAGTCGAAGTTCCCCGCAGGAGCAGGCAACGGAGTGCACGATGGCAAGGGGAGGGCGAATAGCGTGCCTCGGAGTAGATCGGTGAACGCGGAGGGCGAGGCGAATGGAAATGAGGAAGGGAGGAGGAGCGGGATTCCTCGCAGTAGGTCGACCACGTCGGTGTCGGATGCAACGCCCGAACAGATCGAGATCGTTCGTCGCATTCGGAGGACGAAGGATTACTACGAGATTTTAGGGTTGACGAAGACGTGCTCGGAAGGGGAGGTGCGGAAGGCGTACCGGAAGCTGTCGCTAAAGGTTCACCCGGACAAGAACAGCGCACCAGGAGCGGAGGAGGCATTCAAATCAGTGTCGAAAGCATTTCAGGTTGGTGCAGAAGGGGCTGCGTACGGACTGGCTGGTTATTCTGACAGCGTGTTTGTGTGCGCTTGGTCCACGAGTACATTTGCAATGCAGTTTGCTGGCGTTAGCATAATTGGTCGTGCTTTCTTTAGTTGTATGATGTGACGAATACCCTACTCTGTATGGTATGTAATTTTGAACTTGATGCTGGTAGCTCAAGAGTGTGTCGTGTTTGGGAGCATGTGACGCCTCGTATTTGAAGATTTAGTGAGGGTGTTAGGTTGGAGAGAATTAGTGTTCCGTACGATGTTCATCGAAACGTGACGTTGTGTTTGTGTTGCATCGGTGTATGAGAAAGGTTTTGAGCGATGCGGATCTTCGAGACAAGTTTGACAGGGATGGGCCCGACGAAGATATCCAGCACGTCAGGCACAGACATAGCGCTAGGCAGTACGGAGGAGCACCTGTTTATTACGAGGACGTGTTTGATGCGAATGACATATTCAACTCGTTCTTCTTCGGCATGCAACAACCGAACGGCAACTCCCGCAGGGCACAATTCGTGCGGACACAGGCCCCCCATTTCACACAGGCACAGCGAGGAGAGGCGCACTCCATCAACCTGCTGAGCCTGCTACAGCTTCTACCGATCCTGATTCTGTTGATCGTGTCTCTGTTCCCGTTCTCGCAACCGGTGTTCAACTTGATGTCAGTAGCTCCGTACCAGATCCAACGCAAGACGGCGGAGCATGAGGTGCATTACTACGTGAAGTCGCACAACTTCGACAAGGAGTACCCACCGGGAAGTGCGGCGCGACGCAAAGTGGAAGGGCAGGTAGAGAGCGAGTACAGAGACATACTTGTACAGAATTGTCGAATGGAGCTGGGCATGAGAAGGTGGGGTCAATCGTCGGAGACGCCGAACTGCGACCGACTGAAACGGTTCGATAGGTCGTGACATGTACATGTATGTGGTAAGCTTTAGCAACTAAAGGAATGACGGTCATTTTTGAGATTATTCTGCATGGCACACCAGAGCGTAGGGAGCACTTGGTGGAATAAAGACTCTGCTCGACCCGCCTTCCGTCAGTGACGGATCTCTGAGGGTGTTGCTACACAGCGCACCAGGTCGATGCAGTGAATGTTGGACGTTTTGGCCCTTGTGGAAACCATAGCAGGTCCGTGCTCGTCGGACTGTTTTGCGTTCTACGATGGTGATGGTTTCTTCAGTGATCGAATGGGTAGCATCAAACTGCAATTTCTACTGAACATTTTGCCTCGATACTCAGGTGGCATTCTGTATCGACAGCTTTTAGCGGTAAAGCCTGATGGATTGTTTAGTGGAAACTTGTGTCAAATGACGTTGTCGGTAGGCGTTCAGCCTGATAGTCTTCAAATAATTCGTATGGAGGAAGCGTTCTGTATACCGAATATTGGAGATTGAGATGGTCACCATGGGCTGATCAGACCATAATCTGAATGGTTGGAGTAAGGCCGGATTCTCGAAGGTGAGTGTGACTCATTCACCAGGTATTTTAGGTTTTAATCTTATGGGTAGAAGCTCTGAGCGTAATTCTGGTTGGATTACTTGTCATATACTCTCTAGTGTTTTGAAATATGAAATACCATTGTAGTCTCAAACTATCTGAGCAACCCACCTAAATGCAAGTGGCAGATGAAGCCTCTTTACATTGTTTATTTTCAACTGTCGGGTTGAGCATTGAGTTGACACCACCAAAAGCTTTTCTTCCTTTTGAATCTTTTTTTAGTATGTACTTGAAGAAGAAGAAAGTTCATTCAAAGAATTTAAATGGTGCAATTAACACTCCTATTTGAGGTTTGTTGAGTGAGATTGATTTATTTTTCTTTTATTAGTAAAACAATTCAAATTTGTCTTTTTAAAATTAAATAACATTCAATTCAACTTTTATTTTTAAAAAATATTTAAAAATTTATGTTTTAATATGAGTATATATGTACAAATTGATGTCTTACAAATACATGAAAATGGTACATAATTATGGGCAAAAAGAATAGCTTTGTATCTATTTAATTTGAATGTGAAGCTATAAATAAGTCTAATTAGTTTTAGCTGCAATTTTAGTCTCATCTAATACAAGTTAGAATATGGTTGTAAATAATTTTAAATTAGTTTGTTTGATTTTATTTATTTATATTATTTGTAAAATTTAGAATTTCACACATTATAAGAATTAATGTTGAATGTTGTTGTATGGTGTGATTTATGATTTGGGAATACACGGGGTATCTAGCTATAGAGAGTTTAACATTAACTTATTGACCAAGCTCTAATAAGTGATTTATTCTTAATATAGAAGACAAATAAACACAACAATATGAAACGATATTATACTAGTAAAAATCCTTTATATTTAAGAAGGTTCGTGCATAAGGCTTTTTAAAACATTTAGAAATGCCTTATCTTTTGCTATATCAAGTCGTAACTAATCATTTACTAATAAATTAGATTTTCAATAATCTCAAAGAAAATCCATAATTTCCTTTCAAAAATTCATCTTTATATCATAATTTTGTCATAGCTTCATATCTTTATCTTTAACATATATATAAAGTCTTGGTTTTCAAAAACCCTTTTACTTTGCATAAAATGTTCAAATTGTAGCAAAATCCTTTCAATATATATATATATATATATATATATATATATAGTTGTAAAAGATTTTTTTCTCCAAACTTTTAAACTTCATATTTCTTGATCCAATCATTCAATTTTTTCAAATTTTTAGATAATGTAGCGTTTATTCTTAAGCTTTATCACAAAAAAAAATGAACCATAAATTTATTACAAATCATCTAGTATCTTAGAAACCCTAGCAGGTGCTCTAAACTTTAATTTACAAGCACCTGAATACTATTTTTTTCATATCTCAAAATCCAAAATTCAAATGCTACAAAATTTGGTATGTAGCTTTATAACATAGTATTACACATTTGTGAAATTTTTTAGCCAAAGATTCATCCAAATGCTTGAGATATGGCTAGAACTGAACCCTTCATGAAATTGGTTCATTGACAAATCTCAATTTGGAAGCACTGTCTTTAAGTAGTCATTGCTCCTCTAAATCAATTCTAAACCTTTTGTTTTTTGTATGCAAAATGTAGTCCTTTAAATCAATTTTCAATTAATTAATTTAATCTTCAAAAGTCCTTCATATGTGTATGCTATGCCCTAAAGAGTGACAATAGGTACAAAATTAATACCTTGACTTTAAGCGCCTATATCTCATTCTCAAAAATTCCAAATCGCACAAAATCTATACCAAAACCATTTTCAAAATCTTAAATTTAATGATCCTAACCTTTGATGTTCAAATGTCCTCAAAAGAGTAACCTTAATTCCTAATAAGGCCTCAGGCAATCTCTTTGAAGTCCATTGGGTATGACTTTTGGCCAATAAGAATGGAGATTTTTATCATCCATCTTCATTCATCCATATGGATGGCCTAATTATCCTTTTTTATACAAAAAATCCTCCTCTAATCCTTTTTCAAATAAGTTTTACATTGTATGTGCCTTAAATACCAAATTAAAGAAATAAAACAAGATTTTAGGAGTCACCAATGTCTAATAAAGGTGGCTCTAAATATATAAAAATATTATCAACATAAAAATCAACCTCAATAATAGCCTTTTTAAACTAACTACTTCAAAATAGCAATTTAATCATATTTTCTAATCAACTAAAATCTAATAACATGGCTCTCATTACATTACATAATAAATTATATATATATATATATATATATGCATTATTTTCACATGGTAGGTGAACCACAATATGACAACATGTAAAATTGTGCATATTAAAGTAGAGCTAAGTTCCAATGATATCAAAAATAAAATAATATTAATTTTGAAAATAAATTCTAATGAAAATATAAAAATAAACAATGTATAGAACTTAAGAAGTATTAAAAATAGAAGGTAAATTCTTCCTAATAATAACTTAATATTATTTATATTTTTTTATTAATTATATATAAAGTTATAATCTATTTTTTAAAAATAAATAATAATTTCATATAAAGTTATTTTCTAAAAATAAATATTTATAGAAATAGAAGTTGATACAAATATTGTTTTAAGAAAAATAGAATCTTTATTCATTGCATATTTTATGGATAAAAGAATTCTATAATAATCAATTTTTGTAATAAATTATAAAAGTTTGAATTGTCAAATATAATTAGACAATATTACTATTCTTTATATACCATTTTTTTTTACAATTATATGTGCTATATTGAATTATTTGTTTAAAAAAACTTAATCTTAGAGTAATAATTTTAGATTTTTAAATTAAGTTCAATGGGAGACTCTTTAAGTTCTTGAAGGAAAGAAAAAATAGTTTTTGATTCTCTACCAAAGTAATATTTTTTCTTATAGAATCTATGAAGAATCCTTTAATAAAGATGTCTTTTGAAGATGCCATATAAGAATTTGAAATTTTTTGATTATGACCAAACAATAAAATATAATATAATTTACTCAAAAAATACATAATATATATCCAAGTTTAAAAATTGAGACAAATGATTTCATTTATATAAATAATAGTACAAATATTGATTGATGACACTTGTTTCATGAATTTATAAATAGATTTTTTTTCCTAATATCCTAAAAAATAATGAACTAAATGATCTTCTTTAAGCAATCTAAGACCATAAAAGACCATATTTCAATATAAAACTATTGAATCAAGTAGCAAAAAAAAATTGTTTAAGTCTTAGATCATACTTTGATGTTTTTGCCATTATTAAAAGGTGGTGGTGAATACTTGTCATATTGCTCATAAAAAGGTATGTCATTTATTTATGAGAGAATCATTTTTTTAAAGCTAGTGACCATTTATTTTTTATTTTTTGTTTCCATAGGTTTTAGAGACCAAAATTAAAAAGAAATTAAATTAAAGCAATTATGGTATTAATCTTTTAAACCAAAAAATAAAATTGAACCCCATAAAAGAATAAAAAGTAGAATTCTTTTACTAAATAGAAGTCTTATTAGAGGCTTTTATAATGTTAGTAAAGTAAAAATCAAGGTACTAAAACTTATATGAAATATTTTCACTTTGCCTCTTATAACTAATATATTAGTCGATGATTGTCTTATTTTATACCATTATTTATTTATTTCAAATTTACTATGGTATTCAAAAAAATCCAATTATTATAGGCACCTTAAAGGGCCTTCAATTCTTGCTCAAATTCTTCATAATAGACTCATAAGGTGATAAAATTATATTTACCAAAGTCTTTAAAATATGCTCTAATTTTTTAAAAATAAATTCTGAAATTTTCATAAATGTTCCTGTAATTACAATATTAGTTTAAGACTAATTTTCCTTGCTTTGATGATTTTTTAAAAAATAAATTTAAATCAATAAAAAAATCTTATATTTTACATAAATAACTAAAAGATATAAGTTTCTTTCTTAAGCTTCTCCAATCCAGTGATTAATATTTATAGATTTTGAATGAATAATACATGTAGATAAAAGGTCAATATAGATACTAGTCCAACTAACTAAACATTAATTTTGACTATTAAAAACATATATTTATAGAAATAATTGTTAATAATTATAAATTCTATCAATACATCCTATCAATAGAATGTTTATTAAAAATAATGTTTTAATATTTTTCAGATAAAAAATATCAAATTATAAGATTTAAATAATTTTTTTACAAAATAATTAAAATTTAGAAGGTTTTGTAAGTTATAAGAGTCTTGATAAGTAAAAACATTATATAAATAGAACCTTAGTTAGTCTTGGAAGTAATTATTCCAATTAATGTAGTGATTTTACTTCTTTGTAATAATTTGTGTTTAGTTTTTGAAATCAATGTCTAAAATGGTATTTTATTTATATTTATTAATTTTTAGAAATTAATAAATAATAATTATAAAAAATAAAAAATAAAAAACATCATGATTTTTTTACATAGTTATGTAAAAAAATAGATTTTTTTGTTGATTTTAATTAATTTTTTAAATTAAAATTTCCTTATAAGATATAAAAAAGTAGCTTAAATTTGATATTACCATCTTAAAAATATTAAAATATTCTTTCTGATTTTATTAGAATTTAATTAGATACTATTAATAAAACTTAGAATATTTTTTGAAGATTTTTATTAAAATTATTTTATCATTATTGGAAGCAATTATAAAGAGTCTAAACAAGATTTAAAGGCCTTTTTCCATGTTTATAGGAATTGATTATTTTTTGAATATGATGGTAATATTTAATTTTTAAAAAATAAAAATAAAAATAAAAAATAAATTAAGAAAAACTAGAATGACCAACAACCAGCAGTTGTGGTAGTAGTAGTAGTGGAAGTATAAAATTAAACATATTTGTTTTATTTGGGTTGTAGTACCTTAGAGGTAGTTTAAAAGTTAAGAAAAAGGCTCATGGCCTTTCTAGAATATCCTATACACCACTTGTGAGTCTTAATGAGGCTCAAATACTTAACTACATATTTAAGTTATCTATGAGGAAAATATTAATTACATAATTCTACCATATTTTTTTACATTCTATTGCTAGATAAGTCATTCTAAATCATTTAATTATACCAACCTTGGTTTTGAATTTTTGCAGTAGTGTCGAAAAAAAAGATCTATGTCTTACTATAGATTAAATATCATAATGCTTACATTATAGAGTTATATGAAACAAATCTCAACTATACTTAGAGTTAGAAAGAAAACTTTACAGTTGAAAAATTTACTAATGAAAAACTTTGTTCAACAAGATCTATCGTCATTGTTTCTATGTTCTTTGGTTGGTTTTAGATTGAAGTAAAGGCAATTAGAAAGAATTTTGAGTATAGTCAAGTATAAGAATTTTGGTTACAAATTAAATTTAGAGAAGGTTAGATTTAGCACATTATTTGTGATTGATTACTTGTTTGAGTTTGTGCAATTTAATTTAGCAACAAATGATATTCAATCTATTTTTTATATTAATTATAAGCTCCAAAGAAATATTTAATTTATAATGACAAATAAGCAGGCAAGTGCACTCAGCATTGTTATACTTGACAACCTCATCAAAGTTAGAATTCTTTCTTTTGATGCTTAGAAGGAGAAAAAATAAGATACTTATCTTAGAAATTAATCAAATCTTAGTAGCCTTGTTGGATATGATATATAACTAAATTAGAAATCTAGATAAACTTACTTGACACCATGAGATCTAAATTAGTTATAACAAACATACACCTAAAGACTAGGTTTCTAAAATATGATTACATTAAGTCTTTGCAATGCATTATTTGTCCATAAATTTTTAAATAATAAAAATAGTCATATGATATTTGGATATATTATTCATTGGTAATAGTAAATATTAAATAGTAATCATTGCTTCTAATAAATAATAGCAAAATATTTGACATGTGGGTAAACCTTTTGAAATCTTGATTTTAAGTAACTTAATATTGTGTTATAAATGATCTTTTTAAAATTTTGAGTCTATAAAGTAGACTAAAATATAATCAAAAAATCATTAAGATCTTAGTAATAATGGATATGTGGCAATTCTAAGGGATCCAACTAAGTGCTTGTTATTTTGTGTTTTTATTTGCTTGCATTAGTGGTTGTATAATTATAAGTAATCTATTCTCTTAGCAATTGTATTTTTTAATTTTCAAAATTACTTAATGCACCAGTCTTTATATTTAAATATTCTTTTTAACAATTCAGCTATTATATTTAAGTGACATACAATGTATTCGAATGCTTTTTAATAACTTTTATTATTATTACTATTTATTTATATTAAATTATTTATTATATATATTAATTACCAAAATATATTAATTTTAAAAATATTATAATTTGGATCAAAGGATAAATTTTATTCTTAAAATAATATAACTTATCTTGTAGAAATTATAATAGAATTGAATTATAATAATTAATATACAAAACTAGATTTTTTTTAAATCTTTAGCTCTTATATTCTTTGTCTTCTTCCATGCACTAATATATATATATATATATATATATATACATCAATATAATTGATAAAATTATACTAAATTAAATAATTTATTAAATATATTAATTTAATAATTAAAATTTACTATTTGTAATAATTTAAAATATAATATATATTATTTTATGTAAATTGAATACTTTAAATATTAGGGATATAAATCTTTAAAAACTTTTAAAAAATAATACACTCTTGTATTACTTTAAAAGAGAAAATAGATAATTAAAAGATATACACAAGTTAGAAGGTAGAATGACTATAGCCAAATATAAAGAGACTAAAGAAGTTTGAACTATGACTAGAATAGAAGAAAGGCATTAATAAGAGTAAAAAATACCTTATCTTTATCTCTACACATATACTATCTAGTAAAAAATTAAATGACAATGTTTCATAGACCATATAACACAAATTTAATTTGTAGAATAAGTTTTTGATATGTGCACTACATGGCCAATTTATAATACAAAAGGCTAACATATGCAAAATATAGCCAACTTTTTGGCCAATTTTTCAGTCTACCAATTACTTATAAATACTTATAAAGTCCACTTTTAATAAGATACTATTCACTTTAACTTACTTCTACCTAATTCTACTTATTTTTAGTTATTAAAATATATATACTTTTAAATAATGATATCAAAGACATCTATTATATCAAGTATATTCAATATAATTTATTATATCTTTATTTTATAGCAAATTAGATTAAATTTAGAATCAGATATAATTTATCTATTTAGAATATATATATATATATATATATATATATATATGTTTCTCTATGTATATTTAATCTATTGATAATCCATGTATTATCATCCATCCATAACCTATTGATATTTGAATCAATAAAAATATATGTTTGTATAAAAATTAATAGAAGTCATATATTTTTTAAAAAGACAAAACTTTAAAGACAATAACAAACTATTTTTACCTTTTTTTTTGATTTGTTGATCTTTGAGGTATTAGCATTCTAATAAAAACATTGATTAATTTCTTAATTAAGAAGCTTCAAAATTAATACAATTTATTGGTTTACAACTCCAAAAATCAGTGACTAATTGATAGCAAGGACTTTCTTGGTTGTGGATTTAAATCACTTGGCTCTATTTGCAATTGCATTTCATTGGTGTGATGCAACTATTATCAGTAATTACTAAAAATAAATACAAGATTACTTTTTTATTTTTTATTTTTTTATTATAGAATTCTTAATATTTATTTATTTATTTATTTACTTATTTTCCTTTTTTATGCAATTACATAAGCTTTGTTATACAATATAGTTATTAGAAGTTTTACAATGCTTTCTCTACCATCATTTACATTTCATTGTCTCAATGCAATAACTAGCGGTGGTTTCAACAAATTGATAGCAACGGTGGATCTTCAAATGTTGTTTGTCACAATTATGATAAGATTTGTCGACTTTTATTTTAACTACAATCCTATGTTTTGAGGCAACCCTAGGGGACCCTACGGAGTGCTCGTTATTTTGTGTTGTTACCTGCCTACAGCAATGGTTGCACAGTCACAGGTCGTCTATTCTCTTGGCGACTGCGTTCTTTAATTTATAAATTCCTTGTCGCAGGAGTCTTTGCATTCGAATATTTTTGTTCACAGTTCAATTACTGTGCTAAATTGTCGAACACTGGATTGGAATGCTTTTTGATGGTATTTATTGTTATTACTGTCTATTTTTGCCAAAGCATCACTGCAAGAGAGAGATTTGGCGAACTTGTTGTATTGTGTCTTCTTCGAAGTTCCCAGCCCCAATTGCTTTTTCGAGGTCTTGCGCTGGCCAGTTTTATACCTGCTACAGAAGGAATTGGTTATTTAATTACCAACTGTATGATTGGTGGTTTTATTCATGCAATAGAGAATTATATACCTTGCCACTATTGCACAGTTGCATGATTCTTGCATTCTAAAAAAATCGAATTTGTTTTCACCAAATCTGTTCTTTAACATCGGCTTGAGCACCATTCCTTGATTCGTCTCCAGTAGCATTTACTCGGTAGTTCTCGTGACCCATTTGACTAGCGTTTCCATATATTTTGGATTTCCATCTCACTTTAGGGCAAACACGCATCCAAATTCCTCGATAATGGTGCTGCTGCATGTGAAGCAGAAGGACGACATGCAGTTTTTATTTGAAGCTTCTGCAAAAGCATCCGTGGACAGTGTCGTAAGAGAGCTTGTGGTCGTTTAACAATCTGCAGGTGCGAATCCTAGGCTTCCAAGGTGAAGTCAAGAGGCTTGCTCTCTATGGGCCCGCCAAACATCCCGATGATGATGAGGCCAGCGATGATGAGACACAGAAGGGGAAGAAAATTCGAGGTCCTCACTACAGCGAAGATCCTCACTGTCGCCGAACAGGAGATGAGACCCTGTTTCTCAAATTCTAAAGTCGGTCGGCACTTTGCAGTCGTGATTGCTCCTTTTCACGAAGTACTCTTCTGAGAAGTTCCATCTTTCTAGCGATGCCTGTTACTCCGCTGTTCCATCGAACTTGAAATGATGGACGTGTATTTTCTGCGTTGTGAATGGTCATCCTCAACCTGCTTGATTATTCCTCGCTCAACCTTAACTAAGTAATGTGAAATGAAGTGTATACTTGAATTTTTATGGATTTGTAACAGCCTGCGATCCTGAAGTGTCCAAGCAAATTACTAACACGATGGCGGACGCCGTCGCTCTTGTTTCCAAGGTACTCCTCGTTGTCTCATTTCCGATCTCGTTTGGAAGAGCAGCCTTTAAATCATTTCACGAATAATCACACTGTTCTCAGCTATTTGTAAAAGATGGCAGGAAAAAGTAATGGCCAAGACGTATGTTACCTCACAAATGTTAAAAGACCAACTCAATCTCATCCGTGGTGCTATCACGATTTGTTTTCCTCTAGGATTACCCAAGTGGGATGTTGTCCAGCAAGCGATTTCTGGAACATCCTCGTGTACATTTTTCTAATCTTTTCCTTCCTCTTCGTATTCATGAAATCAGCATTGTGCATGAAATTGGACATTCTGTTGAGAGCTTGAACGCACCCTAATTTGCGTCCATGTGTTGATATTGAGTTGGAGTCTCAAGCATTTGTGGTTTCCCAAAACTTCGTGTTCCCAATTTTCTTCTTCCGTGTGGATAATTATCAGTGAAGGAAAGTCTGGATCCAGATACTACAGGTTTATGGTGGGCAGGCAAATAACTATTGTGAGACAAGTGTTTAAAAGATTACGTTGGCCAGAATGAAAAGACGAAGGTTTCCCCAATCACCTGTTGCTGAGACACACCACTGTAAAGTAACGCTTAAAATGCTCTTTGAACCGTTTTGCAAAGCATATTCCGAGAGGCTGGGCACAAATTACGTTGTTTTTCGTAGTGTGCAACACAAGATAACCATTAAGGTCGTATGCTCATCTTCATTATCTGAGAAGGCTACCAGGATTTGTTGTATTATTGCGAAATCTGTATGAAGTTCTCATCAATAGGACTGGTGAATGTGGAACAGATAATTGTGAAGTTGCTCAGAACGGGAACCAGTAAGCGTCTCTCGAGGTCAGATTTGTCTCTTGTTACTGAAGATGGAATTTGTGGTTTGTGAAGCGCTTCTGGCACGTAGTTCTAGCTGCACCATTGCAGCCAATTGACGCAGATACGCACAAGGCAATGATGGCCCATTATTTCAAGCAGCAAGAACAGCTGAAGGTAAGCCTGCTCAGAAATCCAACATTGAAGCAAACTATGAAATTCTTTACAATCAGTTGTGCCTCGTCCATTACCATTTCGCTGCGACGTTAACCAGAGGCCCGATTACGATGTCTTGGTGCTAGTGGCAGCGAATGGCTGATGACGGGATGAAGCGTACATGAACGCGCAGTGGGCTAATCTTAAAGCTCTCGTCGCAGTTACACGGCATGGCCTCGAATATGCAGTTCAAATAAAGTCTCCAATTGCAGAAGTGAGGCATCTGCCAGTCGTGTAAGCAACTGGATGCAGTGTAGAACAATGTTGGCTGCTTCTGGAGCTTCCTTTGAGATCATTACAACCGACAAGAGCACGTTGCATGACAGAAAACATCACGCAGGAAACATAGATTTGAGGCATTCATACTACTCCGAGGAAGTAACGTGTGCTGGTAGTGACCGCATTTATCTACCACTCTACCATTCTGCTAGTTTGCTAAGAGAAATATGAGTAGCCGTTTGCCCTGCTGAATGACTCTCACCATCTTTATGCTCACAGAAACGTCACTCTTGAAATTCAGCCAGCGGGTCATGATTCGATCGCCTGATTCAGTGCACTGGTGGTGTCTTAGCTTGCGTAGTCTCTACCGCAATGCTGCAGCTAGAGTCTCTACAACGCCCTGCCATTTCCAGCTACAAATTTTGCCACTGCATGCCCAATGCTTGCAAATATGATGCAATGTGGATGTCGCTCACAACCTCCCACATTTTTCCCCTGAGATATTCTACACCATCTCGTCAATGGTGGATACATAATCGAATGATTATAGTTACGTAATGCATGGTAAAGTATATTGATATTAGACTCTGGTATCAAGGGTTGCATAGGAGTGATTGCCACTACACCCTCGGAATCTCGAGCTATGCGACGATCACAGTTTGATCAAGAGCACACCCTCAGGAGTCGTACTGGTGCACCCCCTCTTTCCACTCCTGGTGTGCTTCAAGGAACACCCATTAAGCCCGGGGAATAGATCGAAAATGAGCAGAAACTCTACAACTACGATTGGAACTAATACTAATCAATCAGGTGTAGAGATCATCTCCTAACGTCGAGATTTCAACACGTCTTACAGCCGGGACTGGGCAACTCAGCCCTGAACGCATCCACGGAGGCCACATAAAGCTCAGCAACTCGGAAGCATGATGAAGGGGGCACTGACAGACAGCACGGTCTTGGGGGCGAAGTCCCCGAGCTTCCCCTCTGAAGCATGGGCTTCGTTGGTTGCCACGTAGGATGGCTCCGTTCAACGCATGCACCGCACACAACTACACGGTCTATTGGATGGTATTATTCATCAATATCCTTTTCATCCAGCCCAACACACATCCTCGGCCCCCCTGCTCCTTCACTTCCCCTCGCTCTCGCCGCGAAACCCTCGCAACTATGTGCTCTCTCCTCGCTTCGAATTGCTTTAAGCTGTTGTGACATACACGCCGTGACTTCGCTATGCCGCATGAAAGCAACTTGAGATCGAGGAGCCGTTGATGGTAATAATCCTGTGGTTTTCTCTTTTTCTGGTTCCGAGATTGTTACGATGGCTTTCTATGTTTCGAATATAGTGCTCGAGGTTATGCTTGGAAGCTAGATAGTAGGCTCGATCGGCACAATCGTATTGCATAAGCTCATGCTTGTTGTATCCCATGCAAGTGCGTGAACAATCAAGTGTGCTCGGTCAGTCGCAATGGCATCGTGAGCTTTCGCTCAATCCGTTCAGCAACTCATGCTTGGAACGACAAAATGAATGTCGTTGCAGATTTATTGTGCATCCTGTGGATAAGGGCCATGAAATCATACTGTACAGTGAAATGAATGCCATCACAGAAGATCATAGATTCACATCATTGCTAGAGAAATATTTATTCAAAAGTATTTGATTTATGAAGTAATTTGTAGATGCACTGAAAGCGTCGATGTTATTGATATTTGTTACACATTCAACTATTTTGACACAAGGCGCCATAGCACAACCTCACCCTCGGCATCTCCTAATACTAACCAAATAGTGGAGTTCACCATTGTTTCCGTGGGTGGTGGCATAGATGATGAAATGAAAGCGGAAATTGATCTCACACCCGTAGCGTGTAATCGCACTGATGTCTAATGGAATCCAGACTCTCTGGATCCCAAATATGTACAAGTTGCATTGCATAATCGTGCTTAGAATTCAAGATTGTATACACGAGGCAACATAAACTGGCGCTTTCAGAAATGATGGCACTCCTTTGAGAAAGGCAAGAGTCTTGATGAACACTTACCAGGTCAGTCCCTCCACTGAAGAAGAAGTTGCTTGTTGCCGTTAAGGCGTGTACCAATAAGCCTTCATGTGCAGCTTTTACTTAAGCCTTCATTTGCAGGGTTAACTTCCGCCACACGTGTAAAATAGAACAGTTCGCTCCATATGAAATCATCATATGAATAGAGAAAGTATTGCAACTCCATATTGAGTTGATGTGTCCAACCTCTTGGATGAATTGATTGAGTGTAATATTGTTGGAGTGAATGATTGTGTTTGTATAGCACAAGACTTAGATAATATTTAAAGATTTGTAAAACATAGAAGACTTGGGTGAAGGGTGAAGTTTATGTAATTGATTGTATAGGTTGGATTCTGAAGTTAGTTTATTCAAAGAATAAGCCTTGATATAATTGTGATGCAGAGCTTGATTGATATATATATATATATATATATATTTCAGCATGTTTTAAATTGTAATTGAGTCATTGGTATAATATGTAATTAAGGAAATACAATGAATTGGAGAAACAAGCTAACATGATACAAAATTATCATGGTGCTATAGAAAAATGTTCTAGTTTAATATTTATCAAAGATATGAATTAGTTTGTATAAAACATATTGAAGGATTGACATATAAATGAATTATATCAATATTTATATTATTTTTTTGTAAGGGTTTTATGGTAACCAAATAAGATTTCAAGAATCTATGGTTATTTGAGTAATCAAAAGAGTATATTTAAGAATTAAATATTACTAATTTTTTAAGGTATGAATATTAATCATAATAATTTTGTATAGATGATGAGAGATTTGAGATGAACAATTATGAATTATTTCACTTGTATATGTGAACATTCATTATACATAAAACATTGAGAGATGGTAAAATTTTATTGAAAGAATCAAAAATTTAATTAAAGATTTACTTATTTTATTTTATTTTATTTTATTTTTTTTGTTTTATTTTTTTTCATATATAAAATATTAAAAAATTTATTTGCTATCTTAATAAGTATTTTTAGTGATAAAAATTTATTTAAATGATGTTAAGTGTTTAATGAGGTTGTATTCATGTGATTGTAGACAAATTACACATATTATTCAAACATTTACTATGTCCAATCTTGTGAAGTTCTTTTTAAAGTATGTTTCAACAATATGGATGTTATTTATTTGTTGTGTATTAGAATTTGCAATAGTTATGGAATTTTGTAACAAGTTTGTAGAGAATATTAGGATTGTATTCAAAGCAAGAAAAGTTTGCATAAGAGATATGCTTATTTAATACCAAAACTATAATAAAAAAATTGAAATTTTATTGAAGATCAAAGTTTTTTTAAATAGAAATCAACATGCAAATATATACAAACTGCTTGGCCATATTATCAAAGTATTTGTTGGCTTGAGAGCTTGTATTAATAAAAGAGGTATATATGAAATTTTATTTTGTGAATTTTAATATACAACATTAAGGATATACATGTTGATAAAAGAGTGTATACAACAATGTTGGTGTGAAGTAAGTATCTTTCAAAAGGAAAGCAAGGAAATGTTTAGAGAGTTATTGTGGCACTTAAAAACTTATTACAATTGAACTACTTTAAAAATAAAGTCCAAAAAAGTTGGAAGACATTATACCAATATTGTTTGATGTTTCTACTTATGAAAAAGTAAAACATGATGGTAAAGAACTTCACAAAAGATTAGAGTGTATAAGTAAAGATGTGCAATTTGAAGATCATGGATTAGAAAACTATCTATTAATAAGGTTAATGGACTTATGATATATAGAAGGTGGAGAATTGAATTTTTTGGAATTATCACGTGATATAAAAAGTTTAGAGCTTGTGAAAGCTATAAATGATGGTTCTTATAAAAAAATTCATAAATCAAGGTTGTTTAGACTTTCAAGTAGAATAAAAATAATAAATGTTGCTTTTAATGAAATCTTTATGTAAGAAGTAGATATCTTAGCTAATTCAAACCATTCAAACTTGATCAAATATTATGCTACAAATAGTAATACAAATGAAAGTGGTGAGTCTTCAACAATGAATAACTCAAGTGAAAAAATATATTTGGTAATGGAATTGATGCAAGAAAGTTTAAACAATATATTAGAGGAAAAAAGATCAATGCCATATTACTTTCTTATTGATGTTATTTATGAAATTACAAGAGGGATGTATTATTTGCATGACATGAAAATTGCTCATCAAGATCTAAAGCCAAAAATATGCTATTCAATATTATAGATGATGGTAAATTTAACAATGGTTTTCAATATGCAATTGCTAAGTTGATTGATTTTGGTTGGTTAAAGATCAATGTAGGAAGAAAATCAAAATTAAAGAAAATAATCATATGTATGGAAATTTGAATTACAAAGCTTCAAAGGTAATAAAAATCACAATGGAATTAATAAAGATTTGTACTTTTGAAGTAGATGTATATTCATTTGCAATCACATGTTCTAAGATTCTTTCAAAAAAGATCTATTTGATGGTATAATGAATAAAGGAAAATTATTAAAAAGATTTGAAGAAAAAAAAGACCATATTTACCTTCAAATATTGAAGAAATATTGAAGAAAAACACTTTGTGGGAATTGATATAGAAAAAACACCTTGTTTTGGAGCATTTAAGAAAGAAGATTATGAAAAAGAAGATATCAAAAGATGTATAAGTTCATGTTCTATTGATATGTCTTATATTAGAAATTTTATTAGATGTATATATTGACTTGATTTTTTTGATTTTAAAATTTATTTATTCAAATATGTATTTTTTAATGATATTAAATTATTAAAATATGAAGATGTCATTAGATTACATTATTAAAACTATGACAAAAATTGTATTTTTTTTTATTAACATGATGATTTAGTTATTTGAGCAAGAACTTCATTATGAAGACAAGTTAATGGATGTGAAAGAATATTTACCAAACATCAAAGAACTATGTGTGAGTATAATTAAATAGCTCTAATGGTTAGTTGTAATCACTTGGATGATTTTTATCATATTTTTATTAATTTTAATGCTAAAATGATTAATTAATGAATCCAAATTAGTTTTTAATGATAAATTTTATTGTATTTTTTAGGTTAATAATTAGATAGATACTTCTAATTATTAGATTAAATGATTAATAAAAAAAATTTAAAATAATAAATTTAGAAGATTTATGATTTTTTTTTATCTTGATTTGGTTTAATTTTTTTTT